GGATCTTCTATGTGGGAGAGTCTTCCTTCAATGCACCGAAGTGTGCAGAGAATCTCACCATAAAGTTGGAAGCACGAATGAATAAATTCAAGGAAGTGAAAGCCATTTTATAAATTTAACCAAAAATATGAAACAATTATAAGTTCAAGACAAATCAGTGAAGAGTAGAACACAAAAAATTGAAATCAAAATTAACTTTCCACGAAAAAGAAAAAAACTTGAAGTAGTCAAATAATAATTTAGAAATTATTCAAAAGGAAACGAAATTGTCACAAAATTGAATATATTAAGAATAGTCTGCGAATCAGATTATATTTATATTACTTTCAATAAAATTCAGCAAACGAAAACAAACTACCAATTGTAGCAGACAATAAAACAAACAAAGCTACCGATTGTAGCGTTTTTACAATAAAAATGGCAATAAAATGCGAATAAATTATTAAAATTAAAAAAAAATAAATCAATAGGCAACTATATGCCAAATGCACACCCTACACAATATAAAAGTACAAACGACCGATTGTAGGGCACTTTTAAAAATCACAAGAAATAATAAAAATCAAACAAATAAATAATATGCAACTATATGCACAATAAAATGTATTTAAATCCAATAAATTTTAAATATTAAAAATAAGCAACGATATGCTATATATGCACCATATACTATACAAAAGCCCAATTGACCGATTGTAGGGTGCACTGGATTTGAAAATGTCCAAAATTATTTAAATAATATTCCCTGACACAAATATTATATTTACCATAAAATATAATAATATGTGTCACTGTCGTAATATACCAGCCGGGGACTGTGTAATAATACACTGGCCGGAGACCGTGCAATAAAACGGACACAACAGAAAAGGGAATATGCGAAAATGAAATATGTAAGCTTACATGCGTGTGTATATCTATTCGCATGCAAGTGACTGGCTGACCAACTAGCCAGAACAACAAAGCGACGATGCTGGAATATGTAACAATACGTACGTGTGTAAATCAACAATTAGGCAGCCACGAATAGGCTGTAAACGTACGTATGTCACACGCGTATATATGAATATATTATTGTATAGTTTTGTAACCGAAAATATGCAAAACAATATGATCGATACGAAAGGAGATAGAATAAAAGCGATGTTCTTCAACGAAGTTTACAAGAACAAATTACTCTACGAATTTAGAGAAAAAAATATAATAGAAATTTCTTATTTTGTTTTGTTTACAATGTTCCCTTATGACTGTCCTCAAATGGACTTTGACCGATCGTCAACAAAAGGAGGGAATACGCGACGCGTTGTAATGACGGCCACACAAACAAACAAAACACTGTTGGTATTGTTATTGCTCACTTGCACTATACGTACCAATAATTATTAATTTTAGGTGGACTGTATATAATTCCAATGCCAGCTGGAAAATCCGGATGATCGGCTATATCTTCAAGAGTTCTTGAGATTTTTACTTGAAATTTTGTAGGGACATTCTTGAATTAGTGCATATTCGAATTAAATCAAAAAAATTTTGACCCTGAGAATGGGGGGGGGGGTCCCCTTAAGCTAGGCATATGGAGCAAATGTTCTGACACAAGTTAGCTAAGTAAGTGGTTATAATTCAAAATAACTAAGGAACCTTAAATTATACCATCTCCAAAAATTGTAGAAAAATTTTTTTGAAAATTTGAAAAAGAAAAAAATCCCCAAAATAAATAACCGGCAATTACACTGGTTGTCTGCAGGTGGACGATTTTTTTTGTTTTTGTTTTTATTTTTTTATCATAATCCCGATGACTGGTCGATACAACAAATATACATGCAATAGTGTATATATCGGAAAATAGATAAGATATCAAATTCATTAATGCCCTCATATATCATATGATGATAAACTTATAACCAGTAAATTGTCTATGTTTGTGTTCTTCGACATGGGTATTACTGTTGCGTATCAATTAGAAATATTGAACGATAATTCAAGTAATAGTAAACCAAATTTTTATGGGCCCAATTTAAATATTCAACAGAACGGTAGTTATTATAGTTACTTCGGACCGGCCGGGTGTGTGGGTGATCGATCAATCGATCGAACGAACGAAATATTTGTAACGAAAGTGTATATTTCGAAATTGAAATATAAAAATAAAAATGTTTTCAAAAACTATTATTTGTTTAATAATTTCCTGTGGTGTATTTTCCATTGTTTTGGGAAATTGTAAGTGATTTTCAAATTAAAAAAAAAAATATATATGTTTTGAAATGCAATATATAAAAAGATTAAGTGATTACTGTAAAATTTTGTACATTTCGGTGTAAAAATCGGAAAAAAATTGTTTGTAATAAAACTTGAGTGTAGGGGAATCCCTACTCAAATCAATAAGTTTATAATACAATTATTTCATTACACCATTCATAATATGATTAGAATTTCGTGTTCAATTTATTTTTATCGGTCTGGTGAAATCGACCTAAATTGAGTCATATTTTGTGGATTAGATATTGTACTATTCGGTATACTCATGTGACAATGTAATACCCAGTCGTATTGATATCTAGAGTCCACTACAAGCAGTGAAATATTTCAAATATTTCTTAAAAAAAAAAAACAAAAATATTGATTTTGGAATAATGAAAACTATTAAAACTTTGCGGATTAAATATTTTTATATGCACTCCAAGGGATGTTAATTGCACCAAATAAAATAAAAATGGATAGCACTTTTCCCATACCGACTAAGACAACTAAAAAAATTGTGTTTGAAAGCGTTAAAATCGTTAATAATTTCTCGAAGTGCGAAAATAAGTCATCAGATGTCAAGCAAGGCCAGCACGGCAAATTATCATCTTAAATTCCACGTTTTTGGAAACTTAGGCCAATTTTGTACCACTCAAAATTCAGACGAAAGAGCCGCCACATGACTAGTTTTGCCGATGAAACGGCTCCGAGGACGGCATTCGTTCAACGCTGCGGCAACTACATCAGTATGAATGCTATTCAGACCTGCTCGATAGGCACTTGATCTAAGGGCAGATCCTTCCTGTCACGCCTGTGTGAGGGAGTCTTATCCACCATATGATTAGGATGATTGTCCCTGAAGCACCCGAGCAGGTACTGTAACGAAGCGTTACTGATGACACATGCAACATCACCCATTGTAAACTGTGGTGGTACCTCAACGGCGGGAAGATATCTTACACGACGTCGTACTCTTTACTTCGTCCTGTCGGTCTTGGGATGCTCGACAAACAACAAAGTATGTTCCCTCACCCTGGGATCTCATTACCTTAAATTCCACGTTTTTGGCCGGTCAAAATGCGCAGGTTTTTGGGAACTTTCCGATGGTGTTTTGGCAAATTTTGTAACACTCAAAACTCAGACCGTCTTATGTTGCTCAAGCAAAAGAGTCGCAACATGACCAGATTTGCCGAAGAAACGGCTGATCATATGCTGCGAAGTGATTCTTCTACGAATAACTTTGATAGGCGTACCAAATTCTTCGATTCCGATTGAGACCCGTGACGGTCTTAGCCATCCATCGAAATTTTCGTCGAAGAATCCATAAAATGTATCGATGTATCCGTCGGTTGAAATTACAATGGAGATCGCAATATTAAAGATAGAGCTTTGAAATTTTGCTGCTACATTTTTACTAGTCCTACGATGTATGGCATTGAAAATGGTATATATTGGTCCACGTTTTGATATAGCTCCTCATTGAGCTCCGAGGACGGCATTTATTCTGTATTCGTTCAACGCTGCGGCAACTGCCAAATCAGGGGCCAAATCAGCGAATTCGTCTACAACTTTTTTACATTGCTGTAAACATATGGTAATAAGAAATTGGAAGCGAAAGAGAATGTCAAAATAAGTTTTTGGGGGATTCTTATCTACCATATGGATGATTGTCCCTGGAGCACCCTAGTAGGTACTGCAACGAAACCATATTAAATCTTGTTCTCAGGGAGACATTCTTACAAGTCTGTATACTTCTCCATTGCATAACATTAGTATTTGCAGACCACATTGGTACCGCATACCTAGCTCCAGACATATCGCTATGTCCTAGCGATAGGCCGGTAAACATAGTTTCCTTATCTGCACTCCAGTGGGAGGTGCTCACGATATCCTCACACAGTGTGGCATGATTGACAATGTTCTTTCGCACGACCGGTCACCTTTGCTGCATCCTTGCCTGTTTTCAGTAGCGGGACCACCCTAGACTACTTAGCGTTACGGATGACACATGCAACATCGCCCATTATAAACTGTGGTGTTACTTCCTCGGAGGGAATAGATCTTATACGACTCTTCGAAGAGATTTTATGCAACTTCGCTTTGCCCTGTCGTTCTCGGGAGGCTCGACAAACTTTCGGTTAAAATAACTGGCGCATCTCTTCGAATCATCCGAGAGCGTCATTACCGTTGTTCACAGTTTACTTACACAGGTACCGATCTTGCAACTCTCTAGGTGCTCCAATCATTTATTCCGTTTATGCTCCGCGACTAATCTCCTCCAACGTAAGTTCCCTCACCCTAGGATCTGCTGGGTTAGACTAAGCTCATCCCGCACATTTGCTAAACCAATTGCTTCTTCTGGGAAATGACGTCTCATCTCGGATATTCGACCAGTATGAATAAATCTAGTGGCTGCAGCTGTAATGATGTCCCGGAATTTCCTTTTTGCTACCCGTACATGAGAAGGACTGGAAAGTTCCCGGAAGTGCTGTTTGGCGAACTCGCAGAATCCATGCCAGTTTGAAAGGAAAGTGCGGCGTTCAGAGATGATGAAATTGGGCAGTCCGCTTATAGAGACTATTATGGGGAGGTGGTCTGAGCCAAGCCAAATGACGGGCTACGAGTTGACGTAATTTATCAGACCTGGTGGCACAATAGTTATGTCTGTGGCACTCTCCCCTTATTCTGGTGGGGGCATTCTCATTTACTGTGTGGTCATTACATAGGACGCAAAGCCACAACACATGGTGAGCATTTAAATCCTAGTTTTCTCTACCGCTGGAACCAAGATATTATTCCGATCCATGAAGTCCACTATACCGTCCTTTTTACATCGAAGACCATGGCAATCAAATTGCCGAAACTATCCACTATCAGGAGTAGGAACAGCGACGTGTCGTGGTTGGTTAGAGTTATCGGTCTTCACGGAAGATTCAAATGCAGCGCTCGTCTTCTTGATGTTGGAGCCGTCATTGTCAACTTCAGTCGATAGATTTCCGTTGACAGTCTCCTTTGACTATCAGCCTTTTTCTTTTTTACGGGTTTTGCGTTCGTCTTCTCCTCTGGAGATCAAATTCTCTTCATCACTTCCGAGGAAGTGGATGCACTGTCAGTTTTATCATTTTAAGCATTGAATTGCTGTTAAATTTTGTTCATTCGGTTCATTGTGGTTTTTGTGCCCCAGATTACTGCCTATTTCGTGTAGTGATCTTGGCGATGTCCTTCCTGACGTCCTCAACCATCTTATCAGCCTTTACGCTTCTTCGGCATTCTAGAGCGGGGCTGTATTTGTCTTATCTTCATGTTCAGACTTCGAATTTGAGTGTTATCTAGTTTCAGAAGGTTGAGTCGAGGTTCCTCTAAGGACCACAGGGGCCCTTAAACTCAGATCAATTTTTACGCTTGTTAGCTGCGTGCATGTAGCGATACCCTCGACTATAGATGCCAATACATCAACATCTGTAGGAGATGTTTGCTCACGATCGCTGGATGTCGACGGGGCGTGACAGATCAACCGAAAGGTCAATAATTTGACATTCGGAGTGAATAATATCTTCAAAGAAAACCACAAAGAGGTCTAATTCTTGCTGGATTCGTGCATTTGTTGACATAGCCTTCATATAAAGGTCACAATCCATTTTCGGTATGTTTAAGGCCATAGCGGCAAACCAGACTAACAATCTCAGCCTATATATGTATATATTTAATAGTGGTATGTTTCGAGCTATTTGTTAACACATTCATCATTTTCAAATTTGATAAGAAATGCCAATAAGCTGAGTAACTCGACACTCGAAATTAGTCATAGCGGAACTTCCTTCCGCCAACAAGTGTATATGCATAGAAAGAGATTTAATAAAGAGTTTTAATTTTGTGTGTGTTTCTTTTCTAGCATCCGGGCATGTAAAACCTTTTGAAAAAGATCCTAAAATTATTGGCGGGCAGGCTATTTCAATACAAGATGCACCATGGCAAGTGTCCGTTCGTTTGAAGATATACGATGCCCAAATGTATGGTTATGGTCATATATGTGGTGGTTCGGTAATATCTCAACGTGTGATTGTATCAGCGGCACATTGTGTTCTTAAGTAAGTAGATAACAACAACAAACAAAAATTAATGAATGAAAATTAAAAAAAAAGACTGAGTTGAATAAAAATTCTTATTAGAAAAAAATCCTCAGTTACTGAGAATGATTTTTTTTATAGAGAAAATTACTTCTGTTATTGAGGATAACTTTTTCCTATAGGAAAACATATTTTGTTACTCAGGATGAATTTTTCTTATAAGAAAAAAATCCTAAGTTTCTGAGGATGAAAATTGGAAAAAAATCCTCAATTGCTAAGGATGACTTTTTCCTATGGGAAAATAATCCTCAATTACTAAGGACGACTTTTTCCTATAGGAAAAAATCCTCAGTTACTGAGGATGACTTTCTCCTATATGAAAAAAATTCTCAGTTATTCGGGATAACTTGTTCTTATAGAAAAAATCCTCAATTACTAAAGATGACTTTTTCCCATAGGAAAAAAATCTTCAATTGCTGAGGATGTCTTTTTCCTATGGGGAAAAAAAACCTCAATTGCTAGGGACGATTTTTTCCTATAGGACGATGACTTTTTCCTAAAAGGAAAAAAATCCTCATTTGCTGAGGATGACTTTTTCCTATAAGGAAAGAAATCTCAGTCGCTGAGGATGACTTTTTTCTATAAGGAAAAAGATATTTTAGTTTTTTTGGAAAACATATTCAGTCATCTCAGGCTGACCTTTTTCGACAGAAAAATGTTACTGAGGAGGACTTCTTCCAATAGGAAAAAAAATGTCAATACTGAGGTTGACTTTTTCCAATTGGAAAAATATTTTAGTTACAGATGAAGATGACTTTTTCCCATCGGAAAAAATTTCTCAATTACTGAGGATGACTTTTTCTTATAGGAAAACTAATCCTCAATAACTGATGATGTATTTTTCTATTAAGAAAAAACCTCAGTTATTGAAAATACATCTTCTTATAGGAAAAATGTTTTCAATTACGGAGGATGACTTTATTTAACAAATTATTTTTCTTCGCTATTTTTTCCAGTCAAAATGTTCAACCCATGGCATTTCGTAATCCCGATGAATTCACTCTGGTCATGGGCTCGGCATATTTATATCAAGCACCAGCGTATACCCTACAATATGATGTTCTGCAAATTGCCGTTCATCAGTATTTCAATTTGACGACGATGGTCAATGACATTGCCCTGTTTATGATAAACGGTTATATACCATGGTCATGGCCGACAGTGCAGGCTATACCGCTGAATACATGGCCCGAGCCAAGTGGGACTATGTGTACCATTTCAGGATGGGGTAAGACGAGTACATATACGGTAAGTATTCCTTTATGAGAAATTATAAAAAAAAGATTAATTTCAAAATTTGCTTTTCTACCCAGGACGCTGTATCGGGTATCCTTATGGAAGCATCGGTTCCCATTGTCGGCTATGCCACATGTGATACAAATTATGGCAACATATCAATGGGTATGCTATGTGCTGGATATATGGTAAATGGTGGTGTCGATGCATGTCAGGGTGATTCTGGTGGTCCTTTGGTGTGTAATGGTTATTTGGCCGGTGTTGTCTCGTGGGGTTATGGTTGTGCCCAACCCGGTTATCCGGGTGTCTATACAAATGTTTCATATTATTACAATTGGATTGTTACAAATAATTCATCGTTTAATTATAATTATTATTATAATAGTGCCATGAATATTAATTCGAACGGTTTAATGTTAATTTTAAATATTTGTTTGTTAATATTGTTTGCGAAATTTTTGAAATGATGTAATAATTATGAAAATAATAATAAAAAAATAAATATTAAAATTAAATTAATTTAAGAAATAATTAAAAAATATACGTTTATTTTATCGCCCATAAGTATAACTAAGTAATTCAAGTTGAATTACCGACTATGAATTTTCCCGATCGAAAAAAATCCTCAGTTACTGATCTTTTTCCAATAGGAAAAAATTATCGCCACTGAGCATCACTTTTTCCAATAAGAACAAATTCACATTTAAGATGATGATAAATTTTGTCAACTGGAAAATAAATTCTCGGTTGCAGAAGACTTTTTCCAATAGGAAAAAGTTCCTCAGACACTGAGGATAACTGATTTTTTTACTAAAGAAAAATATTCCTCAATGAGGCAGTGATGACTTTTCCAGTAGGATGACTTAATCCAATAAGGAAAATGTACTTAGTCGTGGATGACTTTATCCAATATGAAAAATATACTCAGTTGCTGAGAATGAGGAAACAATTTCTAGTTCACTGAGGACGACTATTTCCAATAGGAAACATTTTTGAGGCAATGAAATTGACTGTTTCCAATAGGAAAAAATACCTCGATCACGGAAGATGATTTTTTCCTATAGGAAAAAACTCCTGAGTCACTAAAGATGATTATTTCCAATAGGAAAAAAATCCTCAATTACTGGGGATGACTTAATCCAATAAGAAAAATATACTCAGTTACAGAGGATGACTTCATCCAATAAGAAAAAATTATGCTCAGTTGCTGAGGATGACTTTATCCAAGAGGAAAAACATCCTGAGTCACTGCGGACGATTATTTCTAATAGGAAAAATTATCGAGGCAATGTGGAGGATAAAATACTTCACCCCAATAAGAAAAAATCCTGAGTCACTGATTGGACAAAAACATTATTTCCAAAAATTTGGTGACGGAAAAAAATCTGCGAGGCAATGTGGATGATTTTTTCCGTTATTTCTTATATGGAAAAATACTTTGCTAGTCACACAAGGAAAAAATAATTTACTCCAATAGAGTAAAGACTTCCTCTTTTTCGAAAAATGCCTCAGTAATAACACTGAGGTAAATAATGTATAAAATATTAAAAAATTAGTTTAAAAAAATTTATTCACACAACAAAAATTCTTTCAGAATGAGGTCATTTTTACCGATTTTAGGCAATATAGGTATATACAAAATTTCCGTCTTTCTAGTGTTAAGTTACTGAGGATGATGTTTTCCAATAGGACAAACTACCTTAATCGGAGAAGGTAACTTTTTTCTACAAGAAAAATTCCTGAGTGGATGATTATTTCCAACAAGAAAACATTCCATAGCTACGAAGATGAATTTTTCCTATAGGGAAAACAATTCCAGTGATAATGACGTTTTCATATATGAAATAAATCCACAGTTAATGATAATGACTTTTTCTTATAGCGAAAAATCCTTAAGTTACTTAGAATAACGTTTTCCAATAGGAAAAAATTGTTCAGTCACTGAGGATAACTTTTTCCAAGAGGAAAAAAATTCTCAGTCACTGTGCCCTATAGGAAAAAATCCTTCTGAAGGTTTCCAATAGGATAAAATCCACAGTCACGGAAGATGACTTTTTTCTATACGAAAAAATTCCTAAGCCAATGTTTATGACGTTTTCCAATAAGAATGAATTCCTCAGTCAAAGAGGGTGATTTTCTCCAATAGGAAAAAATCCTCACTCATTGAATCTGACTTTTTCCTATTGGTAAAAATTCCTCAGTCACGCATGATGGTTTTTTTTTTTCCAGTAGGAAAACATTTTCAGTCACTGAGGATGTTTTTTCCAAAAAGAAAAAAGTTTAATTTTTGCAATAAGAAAAAAAATTCATTTTCCAATAGGAAAAAAAGTTAATTTTTCCAATAGGAAAAAAGTTAAATTAGAAGCTAAAAGTTAAATTAGATGCTATCAAGAATAACGTTACAACTTGGAAATACTTTGAATAGTGGAAGGAGATTTTTATTTCAACAAAAGTATTTCGAATTTGATTTTAGAATACGCTGACCACAACTGTCGTTGGCTTCTTGGTTTGGCAAATATAAAATGCGTTCATTCTGCAATTCCAGTCATTCATTTGGTATTTAGGTTCCTTGTACTTCAAATGAGCACAATGCTCATTGCCACCGGCATTATCAGGTTGTACACCCGCCCAGTCAGCATATAACATACGTTCGCCAGTTCCGTACCAATAAAAATCGCCTTCAGAGTGTAAATCAGATCCTGATAACCACCACCATCTATCCTTGGGATAATTTGATTTTAAATGTTCTGAAAGTTCCTCGATTTCCTCTGGACTGTCGAATGAGGCTAAGACGCCACCCATTGACTGACAGATCAAATTAGCTTTGAACCATGATACCTGTAAAACGTATAAATTGATTACCCACTCTGGTCATGTTCAATCCGAATGTTTAATGTGTACCTTTGATTGGCCGAAATGATATAGTTTTTTACCAACGCGGATGAATGGATCTGTTTCGAAGTCATCAGGGTAACCTTAAGGAGGAGGACAAATCATTTGAACTTTCTACGATCTGGACGAAAATGTTGCTTAATCTTACCGTCTAAAAGGGTTGCTGATAATTTTCGTTCCCGTAATCCCATTACAACCGGGCAGGCCAAACACAAAAGAAGGAACGTCAGTAAGGCGACGTTCTTAGTATGAGCTACAGTTGCCATGTTATCTTGTCAATGATCGAAACACAACTGACCCTTTACCGAACTCTTGCTATTTAATTAAGAACGACGAGAAATGTCGAGTCTGACTGATTTTGTCATCAACGATTTGGAAGACAATTTATTTGAAATCGTTGGCTTTTGTCTATTAACATAAACTCGAAACTATTTTTTTTATTCAAATTATTTCTTGGCTTTCTTTTGTAATCGTGCGTCGTTCTCGATCTTCCCAGTATAGCATCAAATTAAACTGCACCACTTTTTCCAACAACTGATGATGGTAAATCAATAAAACGGGTTGATAGTTTAAATGTGTTGCAACAACAAAGAAAACATTAATAACAACAATAATTTCTGACCTACTGCTATTTATATACGTAGTTGTTGTTGTAGTCGCCCTATTGTTTTTTTCCAAAGTGGGCGGAGGTGGCAGACGTCTGCCGAGAAAGACTCGGGTCGTAGAAGCATTTTATATACGTAGGTTTTGTTGTTGTTCTTTGTATCATAAATGCCCATCAGTTCCCTAAAACGAGAACTTTAGAAAATATGAATTAATAATAATTTACCATACGAATTGGCCTTAATAATGTGGAAAGTATAACAACGCTAATCGTTATTATTCGTGAAAGATATTATAAACATAGAAAGTTAGGACTTTGAATACGATTATTTAACAATACAATTATTTTCATGCAAGCACTCCCACACCCTTTCCCTTAAACACAGATCCACCCATTTGTTCGTCCATTTGTTAATAGTGCAACAATCGGGAGGTATATTTTTTCAAATATTTTAACACTCAATCCAAACATTTTAAGACTTTTCCAGGAATGATTGAAAACTTATTTTAAACAGGGTAATATCTGGTCAGAATAAATATCAAACAAGTGAAAAAGCGTTAAGTTCGGCCGGGCCGAACTTTGGATACCCTCCACCATAGATATACTGACAGGTACTAGAATTGAAAATATAGGGAACATACCAAAAAGTGGACCTATACCGACATGTCTAAGAACGGATTATGTAAACAATAATACAAATTTCAGAAATTTTTAATTGATAATTCAAATTCGAAGATGGGGAATATCGGTCCACTCCTTCTGAAACCTCCACACAGGGACTAGGTCTAAATGCGGCTATAGTTCATTATCGAACCTTAAGTTCTAATTTTTTATCTCGCTATCCTCCGCAGGTGAAATTATTACAACAGAGTCTTAGAACCAAACTCAAAACGCGGAACAACTCAGATAACTATTTTAATATAAAAAAGGGGGTTATATGGGAACTACCCTAAAAAGGGGGCGAATATTAATAATTTTTGATAGAGAGATTTTTTACCATATACGACTACAAAATATCAAATTGCAGCAAATTCGGTTGAAGAACGCGCTCAAGAACCCCAAAATACCGAAAATTGGGGGTACCCTTATATGGGGGCTAACCGAAAAATGGACCTATATTCATAATTTTTTGTGGAGAGGTTTGGTACCTATTGAGAACTCAAAATACTAAATTACAGCTAATTCGGCGGTAAAAAAATACGATCAAAACCCTGAAATACGATCAAAACCCTGAAATACGATCAAAACCCTGAATACTAAAAATTGGGAGGTACCGTTATATGGGGGGTACCAGAAAATATGGACCTATTCTTATAATTTTTTGTGGAGACATTTAGTATCGAATGAGAACCCGATGTACCAAATTTCAGCGAATTCGGCTGAAAAACGCGCTCAAGAACCCCAAAATACCGAAATTTGGCGGGTACCCTTATATGGGAACTATGCCTAAAAGTGGACCGATATATCCCATCTTCGAACTTGACCTGCCTGCAGACAAAAGACAACCCTATGCAAAATTTCAGCACCCTATCTCAATTCCTTCAGAAGATAGCGTGATTACAACAGACGGACGGACGGACATTGCTAGAATATATATACTTTATAGGGTCGTAAATTAATATTTCGATGAGTTACAAACGGAATGACAAAATTAATATACCCTCCATACTATGGTGGAGGGTATAACCAGTTGAAGATCGATCTCTTCCCGAGTTTGTATCAATTTTCCCGTATTTTCGCCTAAAATATAAGAAATGTGATGTAGACTGATTTAGGAGTTTTGGACATTCGAACATTTTTTGTAGAATATTCCGACCTGCTATAACCCCGTTAAAAGAAAAAAATAAACGTTTCAATCATTCCTGGAAAAAGGAACCGAAAAAGCAAGCTTCAGCGAGTCGACAGAGACCTTAAATACTAGACAAAAATATTCCTCAGTAATATTGCCAAAGACGCCATGTACCTACAATACATTTTCAATATTTGTGAATAATATTGTCTCCAATTATAATTTTCCGATTACCAATGCGCGATGATATCTATTTAAAGTTCTTATTTTATTTTATTTTTTTTTTTTGATAATCGAATAACGATGTTACTAAAAGCCACGCCTCCTCTATTAGAGTGCCATTGTCCCTGGCTTATTTTCTCGCTGTTATACTCGATTCGAATCTACTTGTCTGCACACATTTGATGCTGCTAATGTCCTCCTTCTTCACGAACCATGTGGACTGTTCGCGTGGCATTTAGCCTAACCGTATGCAACACATTGTCGTCATCCAGTTCATTATTTCGTCTACTTCCTCTATCGCTTTCTTGGCAGATCCACTTATGGAAATAAGTTCTTAATAAACCAACGTCTTTAGGATGTAATTTTATAAAACCATTCATTTGACGATGTTCGTATCGATGGTGACGGAGGAGGAGGAGGAGGAGACAGCTTGCCACCACTCAGCTTGTTTCCTATAAGAAACAAGGATCTTCAATAACTTTGAATTTCTTTCTACCAGATTTTGTTTCAGCAAAAATTCATCCTCAGTATCGGAGGATTTTCTTTCTAATTGGAAAAAAGTAAACCTCTGTAGATGTAGAATTTTTTTTCTTAATGGGCAACTGGTGTATTTTTGCCTATTGAAAAAAATTAAATGAAATGAATTTTTTGTTTGCAACAGCGAATTTTTTCATTTTGTACTACCGGGCCCCCACCGAAATGAAATCCTGTGTACGTTGCTGGTTCCCATATAACCCCCTTTTTTATATTAAAATAGTTATCTGATTTGTTCCGCATTTTGAGTTTGGTTCTAAGACTATGTTGTAATCTTTTCACCTACGGAGGATAGCGAGATAAAAAATTAGAATTTAAGGTTCGATAATGAACTATAGCAGCATTTAGACCTGGTCCCTGTGTGGAGGATTCAGAAGGAGTGGACCGATATTCCCCATCTTCGAATTTGAATTATCAATTAAAAATTTCTGAAATTTGTATTATTGTTTACATAATCCGTTCTTAGACATGTCGGTATAGGTCCACTTTTTGGTATGTTCCCTATATTTTCAATTCTAGTACCTGTCAGTATATCTATGGTGGAGGGTATCCAAAGTTCGGCCCAGTCGAACTTAACGCTTTTTCACTTGTTTTTCTTTTAACGGGTTTATAGCAGGTCGGAATATTCTACGAAAAATGTTCGAATGTCCAAAACTCCTAAATCAGACTAATCAGTATTATTCTACATCACATTTCTTATATTTTAGGCGAAAATACGGAAAAAATTGATACAAACTCGGGAAGATATCGATCTTCAACTTGTTTGATGTATGAAACAATGTATGAAATTAAATTTTCAAAGTCCTAACTTTCTATGTTTATAATATCTTTCATGAATAATAACATTTAGCGTTGTTATACTTATACTTTCCACATTATTAAGGCCAATTCGTATGGTAAATTATTAGTAATTCATATTTTCTAAAGTTTTAGAACTGATGGGCATTTATGATACAAAGAAAAACAACAAAACTTACGTATATAAAACGCTTCTACGACCCTAGTCTTTCTCGGCAGAGTCTGCCACCTCCGCCCATTTTGGAAAAAAACAATAGTAGCCGCCCTACAACAACAACTACGTATATAAAATTGGTATGTAAATTTATTTTCAGTATACAGTAAATAGCAGCAGTAGGTCAGAAATTATTGTTGTTATTAATGTTTTCTTTGTTGTTGCAACACATATAAACTATCAACCAGTTTTATTGATTTACCATCATCTGTTGTTGGAAAAAGTGATGCAGTTTAATTTGATGCTATACTGGGAAGATCGGGAACATTACATTATTAAAGAAGATAACAAAAAAAATTTAGAATAAAAAAATAATTCAGAGTTTATGTTGTTGTTGTTGCAACACATTTAAACTATGAACCAGTTTTATTGGCTTACCATCATCTGTTAGAAAAGGTGGTGCTGTTTAATTTGATGCTATACTGGGAAGATCGAGAACGACACACGACTACAAAAGAAAGGCAAGAAAGAAATTTGGATAAAAAAAAAAAAATAATTCCGAGTTTATGTTAATAGACAAAAGCCAACGATTTCAAATAAACTGTCTTCCAAATCGTTGATGATAAAATCAGTCAGACTCGACATTTCTCGTCGTTCTTAATTAAATAGCAAGAGTTCGGTAAAGGGTCAGTTGTGTTTCGATCATTGACAAGATAACATGGTAACTGTAGCTCATACTAAGAACGTCGCCTTACTAACGTTCCTCCTTTTGTGTTTGGCCTGCCCGGTTGTAATGGGATTACGGGAACGAAAATTATCAGCAACCCTTTTAGACGGTAAGATTAAGCAACATTTTCGTCCTGATCGTAGAAAGTTCAAATGATTTGTCCTCCTCCTTAAGGTTACCCTGATGACTTCGAAACAGATCCATTCATCCGCGTTGGTAAAAAACTATATCATTTCGGCCAATCACAGGTACACATTAAACATTCGAATTGAACATGACCAGAGTGGGTAATCAATTTATACGTTTTACAGGTATCATGGTTCAAAGCTAATTTGATCTGCCGGTCAATGGGTGGCGTCTTAGCCTCATTCGACAGTCCAGAGGAAATCGAGGAACTTTCAGAACATTTAAAATCAAATTATCCCAAGGATAGATGGTGGTGGTTATCAGGATCTGATTTACACTCTGAAGGCGATTTTTATTGGTACGGAACTGGCGAACGGATTTCATATGCTGATTGGTCGCATGGTGAACCTGATAATGCCGGTGGCAATGAGAATTGTGTCCATTTGTGGTACAAGGAACCTAAATACCAAATGAATGACTGGAAGTGCAGAATGAACGCATTTTATATTTGCCAAACCAAGAAGCCAACGACAGTTGTGGTCAGCGTATTCTAAAATCAAATTCGAAATACTTTTGTTGAAATAAAAATGTCCTTCCACTATTCAAAGTATTTCCTAGTTGTAACTTTATTCTTGATAGCTTCTAAAGCGTATGTTCTGGTTTTACTTTTCATTGCAAAAGCTTTGCTCATTAAGATCGACTCAGTTGTGTGGTGATCATTGACAATACAATATGGCAACAGATGTCGGTCTATGGGTGGCGACTTAGCCTCATTCGACAGTCCAGTGGAAATAAAGGAACTTTCAGATCATTTAAAATCAAATTATCCCAGGGATAGATGGCGGTGGTTATAAGGATCTGATTTACACTCTGAAGGCGATTTTTATACCCTTCACCACACTGTGGTACAGGGTATTATGTCTTTGTGCATATGTTTGTAATAGGCAAAAATAATCGAGGTAGACCCATGGCTCCTTTTGAGAATATGCATAGAATCACATTCTGAGTCGATTTATGCATGTCTGTCCGTCCGTCTATTGATGTTAAATTGTAAACAAAGTACAGGTCGCATTTATGATCCGAATTGGATGAAATTTGGCACAGTTCATTTGTTTGGCCCAAGGACGAACCCTATTGAAATTGGGAAAAATCGGTTCAGATTTAGATATAGCTCCCATATATATCTTCGTCCGATTTAAGGCAAATTGTGTACCAAAGTCCCTATATATATTTCGATTTGCACGAAATTTGGCACAGTGTACTAAATTAAGTCTAGAATAATGTGTGCAAAGTTTCGTGAAAATCGGTTCAGATTTAGATAAAGCTCCCATATATAGCTTCGCCCGATTTTAGGTAAATAGTCCAATAAAGTCCCTGGAAATCTTTTGATTTGTACGAATTTTGGCATAGCGTACTGAATTAGGTCTAGAATGGTGTGTGAAAGTTTTGAGAAAATCGGTTCAGATTTAGATATAGCTCCCATATATATCTTCGCCCGATTTTAGGTAAATATTCCACTAATGTCCCTGGAAATCTTTCGACGTGCACGAAATTTGACACATCGTAATGAATAAGGTGTAGAATGATGTCTGCCAAGTTTCGTGAAAATCGGTTCAGATTTAGATATAGCTCCCATATATATCTTTGTCCGATTTAAGGTAAATTGTGTAACAAAGTCCCTATATATATTTCGATGTGCACGAATATTGGTATAGCGTACTAAATTAAGTCTAGAATGATGTGTGCAAAGTTTCGTGAAAATCGGTTCAGATTTAGATATAGCTCCCATATATATATATATATATATATATATATATTTACAGAATTTAGCACTTATTCAAAAATTAAGCAACATACTATGTTTCAGATTTTAGTCTATTGCAGTTGCAGTTGTCATTTAATATTTAGGGCCAGTTTAGTACTAATTTCAAAAAAAAATGTGCATAGCGAAGTATTTGTAATAGTTAAATCAATGTACCACGTTTCAGCTTACTATTTCGAACGATTCCATTGTAATTTTCATTTAGTACTTTTTATCACCACTTTAGTACAAATTTGTGATAGTAAAAGCTATTTGTAAAAGCTTAAATACCATGTTTCAGATATAAACCCGTACCTGTTCCATTGTAATATAATATTTAGTACTTTTTAGTACCTTAAGTACTAATTTCCAAAATTTGTTCACACATTCCCCTTTGCCTATAATTGACAAAGCTGCATACCAAATTTAAGAGTTCTGAATCCAAACGTTCCGGTGTAATATAGTTTTAGTACTTTTTAGTATATTTTTATTACCATTTTAGTACCAATTTCCAAAAGATTTTTTGCACAACATTCTATTTGTAATAGCTTAAGCTACATACCAATTTTCAGATAAGTATCTCTACTGCTTCTATTCAAATAAAATATTTTGTACTTTTTAGTACCTCTTAGTACTAAATTCCATTTTTTTACACATTCCCTTTGAATTATTATTAACAAAGCTATATACCAAATTTCAGAGTTCTACTTCCAACCGTTCCGACGTAATACAGTTTTAGTATCATTTTAGTACTAAATCCACGCATTTGAAAAAGAAATTTTAAAATCCACGCCTTTGAAAAAAAAAATTTAAAGTCCACGCCTCTTTTAATAAATTCACGCCTTTGAAAAAAAATAAAATCCACGCCTCTTTTAATAAATTCACGCCTTTGAAAAAAAATTGAAAATCCACGCCTCTTTTAATAAATTCACGCCTTTGAAAAAAATTTAAAATCCACGCTTTATTATTAAATTCACGCCTTTAAAAAATCCACACCTTTGAAAAAAATATTTGTTTAAAAAATGCACGCCTTTGAATTTTTTTAAATCCACGCCTTAAGAAAAATATATTTTAATAAATTCACGCCTTTAAAAAATCCACACCTTTGAAAAAATATATTTTAATAAGTTCGCGCCTTTAAAAAAATCCACACCTTTGAAGAAATATTTTTTTAAAAAATCCACGCCTTAGGAAAAATATATTTTAATAAATTCACGCCTTTAAAAAATCCACACCTTTGAAAAAATATGTTTTAATAAGTTCACGCCTTTAAAAAATCCACACCTTTAAAAAAATATATTTTAATAAGTTCGCGCCTTTAATAAATCCACACCTTTGAAAAAATATTCTTTAATAAATCCACGCCTGTTATGGACATTTGAAAAAATATTCTTTAATAAATCCACACCTTTGAAAAAATATTTTTTTTAAATCCACGCCTTAGAAAAAATATTTTTATTAAAATCCACGCCTTAGAAAAAATATTTTAGTACTTTTTAGTACCTTTTAGTACGAATTTCCAAAAACCCGGCCTTATCAAACGCCTACGCCCCAAACTCAACCTACATGCCAAATTTCAAGTTTCTAGCTTTAGCCGTTTCGTCTGGGCGTTGATGATCAGTCAGTCACTTATAACGCAACTCTTATATATATACATATATATAGATTAATATTCTAGTGCTCTGCTAATGACGATATAAACCCCATATTATATCCTCCCTCATAGGGATCATATCTCCCTTATAAACTATTTTTTCAAAATTATATAATATCACAACATTACAGCACATAGTTTTTTTGTTTACAAAAATTCTTCTATTAGTTATTAATTATCTTTTGTTATTGTTGTTGTTGTTTTCTGGCTTTTCGACATTTCAAGAGCACCCACTTATTTTTGATATTGAGATATTTTGTTTTTGGTTGTTTTTTATAGTTTATTTTATGAAAAGGCTTTGGTTTTATTTTACCAGGGCGCCCGATAAGATATGAAGATAAGTGTCGCGTCACTTATAACGAATCAATCGCTTGGGTGTCATAACGCATTAATGCGTTCAGTCACTATTGAAAAACGGTGTCAGTTGTGATTTGATTTTCATCGGACCGGTGTGAATTACATTCAGCCTTTTTTTTGGCGAAATCTACAAAATCGATTTACCGACAAACAAAGAAATTATGATAAATAATCCAAAAATACAAATGACAATATCGGGTGTCATAATAATAACAATTGTGTTTGTATTTCAACAATGTCAAGGAAGTAAGTGAATTTAATTTATACAAATGTGGAAATATGTAATTCGGAGTGTTAACAAAGTGTTGAGACGTAAATGTGTTGTAATAAAGAGTGGAGAGATTATGTTTTATAATTGCTTTGTAACAGAGTGCTTGATAGAGTGTGTTTGTTTTCCACCTGTGTGAGAGATAGCGCTACGTATATGTTTTGTTTACATTTGTTGTGAGAATCTATCTCTCTCGGGTTATGCTCACACAATTTCTCTCCATAGTTTCTTTAGTTTGTTGTTTTTATTTAGTGTTTTTCGTTTACAGTTGTGTAGTGAGATCATGTTTTGATTCTCTATAAAGAGTGTTAGTGTGAAGAGAGCATCTTCGTGGCTTTGTTTACATATGTTCACACTCTCAATAGTTTGCTATGATTGTTGTTTTTGTTCCAAGATGTCCTTGCACTGTTATACAGAGAGAGATTATATTTCGATTATTAAGAGTAGAGAAGAGATCATCTTTAGCGGTTTGTTCACTTATTTTTTTGTAGATATATTCATGTGTGTGTTAATCTTAGTAGTTTTTGTTTGTATTCTCTGTGATAAAGTTAATGATGTCTCTTTCTTTTTGCGAAAGTACAATCATTTCCATTATGCATAAGCATGCTCTGCGTATGAGTAATAATGTTTATGATTTTGATAACTTTTTATTGCTTATACGCCCCTACGTATAATACCCCCATTAATATTAATAAAAAAATGTGTAAGGCATAAAAATCATAGCAATTTGCAATTTTTGCCATAAAAGAAAAAAGATTATCATAAAAGAAACCGATGATTGTTTGCTTTTTTATTCTAGGTCTAAATGAAAACAACCATGATTTTAAATTTGATTTTTTTTTAGATATTCGATAAGGTCCTGACTAAAAATAGTTTTATTGTCGAAGCGTTGGAATAAAAAACATTGCATAGTATTTAAAAACAAAGAAAAAAATATTTTTAAAAAATCCAAGCCTATTGATGATCTTAGAAAAAAATACTTTTAACCTGTAAGGAAAGTAGTAAAGTCGGACTGGGCCCACTCATGATACCCACTCACCACATTGGGTATATTCTACAAATGTATCCTAACAGACGTCGCGCCTTTTCGAAGGAACATTGAGATGAAATTGAACGAACCTTAATCTAAATCTAACCCGATTTTCTCGAATCTTAACACACGAGCTATGGTAGGGACAGATTTCCATCTCAAAGGCACGAAAATCCCCATGAACATACAGAACAAAAACAACATCAAGTGTAAATACAAATACATAAAAAACACCAAATTTCTGTAAATACACTTGTCATGAGCGGGCAAATGTAAAAAAGAGGTTGTTAGAAATACTTCAAAGTACCAAACATTCAATTATAGTAACTTCCGTATATTGACAAAATTAGGTGCCGGTTGCTCAAACTTTGGATCTTTAGTGCACAATTTACATTAAATCGGACGAAAATATCTGGGAGGTAAATCTAAATCGGAACCGATTTTAATTTTAGATTTCAAATTTAGAGCAAACCGAAAGGTATATAGGGACTTTGGAGCCCCATTTACCTTAAATCGGACGAAAATATATATGGGTGCTATATATAAATCTGACCCGATTTTCACGAAACTTAGCACATATAATTCTAGGCGTAATTCAGTACACTATGCCAAATTTCGTCCAAATCGAAAGATATATAGGGACTTATGTGCACCATTCACATTAAATCGGACGAAAATATACATGGGACCTATATCTAAATCTCAGTCGATTTTCTAGAAACCTAACACACATCATTCTAGGCTCAAGAAGGAGGGACTGACGGACTTGCATAAATCGACCTAGAAAGTAATTCTATGCATATTCTCAAAAGGAACCATATGTCTATCTCGTTTCCTTTTGCCAGTTACAAACATATGCATAAAGACGTAATACCTTGTACACAGTGTGGTGAAGGGTATAAAAAGTTCTCGCCTATTAATGGTCTTTAAAAAAATATATTTTTAAAAAATCCACGCCTATTGATGGTCGTTGAAAAAAATATTTTAGAAATTCCACTTTTCTTAATAATAATGCATATTAACAATGTAAATAACAAATGCTGCATTTTTCCTAGACAACTTTAACAAAACCAGGGAATTAATGTCAAGCACCCTTAAAAATAGTTCAGTGTCATATTATCATGCGATCGCTGATTAACCATCACTGATAACTAATTGATAATGATTTGCTGATTTTTATAACGTAATTTTATGACGCCAAAAACAATTCAATTAAACAAATATGAAAACAAAGAATAACACCATCGGAATCTGATTCACACGAGTTCTAACTTCCTGCATAGTCATTATTATTTTTTATTGGAAACTGTTGGAAACACCTTAACGTTTACTGCACGCTTATAAACAAATTATAAAATAAAATATTTATTTTTAGCAAACAAAATTACTGTTTAACTATTTATAGAATATTTATAGCAGGCTAATAAAAATAAGATTGTTGATTTTTGGGCATAATCGATATGTTCGGGAATGTTCAGACTAATAAGCAAATGAAAGCATAGAAGTGATTTTCTAAAAATATTTTTTGAAGGAGTTTTTAAAAATATTTTTTCAGAGACCACCAATAGGCTTGGATTTTTATACCTGTGGTATAGGGTATTATGTCTTTGTGCATAAGTTTGTAACAGGCAAAAGGAAACGAGATAGCCACAGGGTTCCTTTTGAGAATATGCATCGAATCACTTTTTGAGTCGATATATGCATGTCCGTTCGTCTGTCCATGTTAAATTGTAAACAAAGTACCGGTCGCATTTAATATCCGATTTGGATAAAATTTGGCACAGCTCATTTATTTGGCCTAAGGACGAACCCGAAAAATCGGTTCAGATTTATATATAGCTCCCATATATAAGTTCGTCCGATTTTGTGTAAATGATGTACCAAAGTCCCTATATATCTTACGATTTGCATGAAATTTGGCACAGCGTAACGAATTAGGCCTAGAATGATGTGTGTTAAGTTTCCTGAAAATCGGTTCAGAGTTAGATATAGCTCTCATATATATTTTTGTCCGATTTAATGTAAATGGTGCTCCAAAGTCCCTATATATCTTTCGATTTGCACGAAATTTGGCATAGCGTATTAAATTATATACAGAATGATGTGTGTTAAGTTTCGTGAAAATCGGTTCAGATTTAGATATAGCTCTCATATATATTTTCGTCCGGTTTAATGTAAATGGTGCACCAAAGTCCTATATATCTTTCGATTTGCACGAAATTTGGCACAGCGTAATGAATTAGGTCTGGAATGATGTGTGTTATGTTTCGTGAAAATCGGTTCAGATTTAGATATAGCTCCCACATATATTTTCGTCCGATTTAATATCTTTCGATTTGCACGAAATTTGGCACAGCGTAATGAATTAGGTCTAGAATGATGTGTGTTAAATTTCCTGAAAATCGGTTCAGATTTACATATAGCTCTCATATATATTTTCGTCCGATTTACTGTAAATGGTCCACCAAAGTCCCTATATATCTCTTGATTCGCACGAAATTTGGCACAGCGTAATGAATTAGGTCTAGAATGATGTGTGTTAAGTTTCATGAAAATCGGTGCAGATTTAGATATAGCTTCTATATCTGACCAAATGAAAAAATTAGTATCTGTGGCAGAATGACATGTTTATGGATCCAATTTCATTTTACCGATCCTTTAAAAATGCGACGTCGGTTAGGATTCATCTGTTGAATATACCCGAAGTGGTGAAGGGTATAATATAGTCGGACTTTACTACTTTCCTTACTGGTTTAAAAATATTTTTTCAAAAACTACCAATAGGCGTGGAGTTTTTAAAAGTATTTTTTCAAATTAAAAAAAAGGTCTACTTATAGGCGAGGATTTTTAAAACTATTTTACCAAGGACGACCCATGGGAGCGGATTTTTAAAAATATTATTTTTTATTTATTTATAGGCACCTTACCTCCTGATGCATCTCTAAGGGATGCAATTCCTTCGAAGGAATCCAAAATCATTGGTGGTTCTCAAATTTCAATTAATGATGCCAAATATCAGGTTTCGCTGCGTTTGGTGGCAAATGAAAATTCTCGCGGCTTTGGCTACGGGCACATCTGTGGCGGTTCGATTATATCGCAAAGAGTTATACTGACAGCTGCCCATTGTTTGATAAAGTAAGTTGTCTGACATTTTTCAAAAAAAAAAAAAAAATCAAATTAAGGGGACCCCCCATTCTCGGGGTCAAAATTTTTGTTGATATAATTCGAATCTACACTGATTAAAGAATGTCTCTACAAAATTTCAAGTGAAAATCTCAAGAACTCTTGAAGATATAGCCGATTTATTGTATCAGCATCAAGTGACGGCTGAAGGGCTTCTCAAACTTTAAACGCGTTTTTCTCTAAACATTTTTTTGCGAATGGCGGGCACGATAACTCAAAAACTAATAACCCAATCGGTTCCAAATTTTGCAACGTTTCTTTGGGAGTGTATAGCTCTCGTATGAACTAGGATAAAGCAAATCGGTGAAGATCTTCCTTATTTTTTAACTTGGTTTTTGGTAAAAAATCGGCGATTTTTCAAAAATATTTTTTCAAAGGTCCACCATTTTGTTAATTTAAGTCAATAATCCCAGTTCATACGAGAGCCAGACATGTACTCTTTCTAACACCGTTGGAATTTTCGGATTCCGATGTTCCAGTGAGGAGTTATCATGCCCGCCATCAAAAATAAGGACTTTTCTTTAATTACAAAAAACAACAACAAAACAATAACAAAATTTTTTTGTAAATTATTTTTCTTCTCTTCTAAATCTTCAATTTTATATGTGCAAAGTTACAAACCTTAACAAGCATTGGTATTGATTTACCAGCCCATTGAAAATCTTGAAAAAATAAAATCGAGAATGGGGGGGTTCCCTTAATAAAAATTAATTTTCTTACAGTTACAACACCGATCCCGAAACTGAACGTAGAGCTGGAGAATTTAAAGTTGTTGTGGGCTCCACACAATTATATGTCAAGGAACCCAATGTCCTGGAATATTATGTTCAGCAAATGGTTAAACATGCCGGTTTTGATCCGGTCAGTATGATCAATGATATCGCGTTGGTAATGATCAATGGTTATATACCATGGAATTGGCCGACGGCAAGGGCAATACATTTAAATGCTATGGAATTGAATATGGGTGTACCGTGTAATGTCAGTGGTTGGGGTAAAACTGAGAGGGTAAGTGGAAGGACAATACTATTGAAAAGAAATTAAAAATAATCTAAATTGTAAATTATTTTCTAGGGCCTTATACCCAACAATTTGCTGTCGACGGTAGTCCGAAGCATATCCTACGACGAATGCGAGGCTTCCTATGGTCATATACCACTGAGCATGATTTGTGCTGGTGATTATTATGTGGGAGGTGTTGATGCCTGTCAGGGTGATTCTGGTGGGCCCATGGTCTGTGCCAACAGTCAAGTTGGTATTGTGTCATGGGGTATTGGTTGCGGTCAGGCATACAAACCCGGTGTTTATACAAATGTTTCGGCATACTACAATTGGATCGTCGCGAAGAATAAAACTTTTGATTATAATGTTTATAGAAATACTGCTGGGAATTTGAAGAATTTGTCACATATTTCAATTGTAATTATTTTAAATTTTTTACTTTTTTTTAAATTTTTGTAGATTTTTTTGGGGGGAAATTTAACAAATGGGCTTATTTTGTAAATTTTATATTAAGGATTAATTAAATTAATCATGAATTGGCATTTTGTTTCATTCCACACGGAATGCCTCATTGGACATTGAGAATTAGGCTTAAATATTGTATTTATATGAATATATGTGATCAAATCTAAAATTGTATATATGTATGTAAATATATTAGAGAAAATATGAATCTATTTTAATAAATAGATATGAATTTAATAATAACACATTTTCAAGAGTTACCATTAAGCGTGGATATTTTAAAAATATGTTCTTAAGGGTCAACAAAAGGTTGATTAAAAAAATATTTTTTCAGGACCCCCAATAAAAGAGATTTTTATAAATCTAAGTTTCAGGATTCAAACTCTATCAGTTCACCCACAATTAAAATTGTACCAAATTTAGTACGCAGTAGTACGTATTTCTAAAACTTCCCATATCACAATTTTACATCTCAACAGTGATCCTGACTAAAAATTTCATGATTCTAGCTCTATTGGTTCACCTAAAATTCGAATTGTACCAAATTTAGTACCCATAAGTATTAATTTGTTAAACTGAATCCTGACCCTATACCTGCATCCCTACAATGATCCTAATTCATTGTTCCATCTCTATCGGTTCACCTAAATCCAAGTTGTATAAATTGTAGTACGATTTAGTACTTTTCGTACACATAAGTAAAAGATGTTCAAAACTACGTACATATCCCAATCCTACACTCCGACGGTAATGTACTTTCAATTTTCAGGATTCCAGCTCGATTTGTACCTCCAAATCAAATTTGTACCAAATATAGTACTTTTCGTACACATGAGTACACGCTTCCCAAACTCTCCTCACATCGACCGAACTTCTCAACCTTAATTTGCATTCCAAATTTCAAGTTTTTAACTCAATCCATTCACATGCTACGAAATTGTACCAAATTTAGTACATTACAGTACCTTTCGGATACTTATAGTTCGAATTGCTACATCTTTTCTACACTCTATCAGTGACCCTCAATCCAAATTTCAGAGTTCTAGCCTTACTGGTATGCCAAATACAAATGATACCATATTTAGTACTTTTCGTACCGTTCTAGTACGAATTTCCAAAAACTCAGCCTTATCTGACACCTTTGGACCTAGAGTGACCCTCACCTAGCTTCAGATTCAAGATTCTAGCTTCAGCCGTTTCTTCTGGGTTTTGATGAATCAGTCATTATAATTTGTGAACACGATACATGCCACAGTTATGGACCAATCTTCACAAAATTTTGCATGTAGGATGGGTTCTGGCCAATGAAGACCCCTATTGTTTTTGGTAAAGATCGGTTAATATTTAGGGCATGAAATGGACCAAATACTAAATTTTTGTCGGTTTTTCTGGTAGCTGGTGTATATCGAGATTAGTACAATTTGGCTAGAAGAATGCATGCCCAATGACAACATCCTGTGTCCCGTGCACAAAAAAGGAGACAAGACGATATGTGCGAACTATAGAGGAAGAAGTCTCCTTCCCATCGCATATAAAGTGCTATCCAGCGTACTGTGTGAACTACTGAAGCCAATGGTCAATGACATTATTGGACCATACCAATGCAGCTTCAGACCTGGCAAATTCACCTACCCGTTCAGAGGTGTTTAAAGTCATGTCTGCATTTGACATTCCTGCAAACTTAATTCGGCTATGCAGGATAACTTTAACTGGCACAAGATCAGCAGTTAAATTCGGAAAGGACCTCTCGGAGCCCTTTAATACCGAACGAGGATTCAGACAAGGTGGCAGTTTGTCGTGTGACCTTTTTAACGTCCTGCTGGAAAAGGAAAGGGTCATACGAGACGCAAAGGTTAACAGGAATGGCACTCTGTACACCAAACAACACATGTTACTTGCCTGCACCCATGACATCGATATTATTGGTCGAACACTGAGAGCGGTAACAGACACCTTCGAACAAATGGAGAAGGAGCCTGACAAAGTGTTTATGACAGTAAATGGGGAGAAGACCAAGCTGATGGAATCAACGCGCAAGACGTCCAGTAGACTCGAACCAACTGTGGAACTTGAGAACTACAGCTTCGAGGTAGTCAACGATTTTATATACCTTGTTACCGCCATAAATAAAATGAATGACATCAGTTTTGAAATTCGGAGAAGGATTGTGATGGCCATCAGATGATACAGCTGATACTATGGTCTGAGCAAACGACTCAAAAGTAAGGCCACCTCCCTGCAGACCAAACTCACAGTCTAAAAGACGCTGATACTACCCGTGCTGTTATATGGATCTGAAGCATGGGTGCTTGCACAAGCAGATGAGGTAGCTCTTGGAGTGTTTGACAGAAAAAATTCTCCGAAAGATCTATGGGCCAATCTGCGTTGACGGTGATTATCGCCTTCGAATGAACCATGAGCTGTACCAGCTATTCTCGGACATCGACATTGTAAGACGTATTGAGCTCCAGTGACTACGTTGGCTAGGTCATGTTGTGAGAATGGATGAAGATGTCCTAGTCCAGAAGTCATATAAAAGCGAACCAAATGATGGTTCACGCAGAAGGGGAAGGCCACGAAGAAGATGGAAAAATCATGTGGAGGGCAACATTGCCGAATATGATCATTCAAATTAGAAAAACTGCGCAAAAGACCGACGCGCCTTGAAATCTTTTTTTAAGCTCGGCTTATGAAATGAAGATTCCTTCACAAGCCAGCTAAGTAAGTAAGTAACCCATTACCACACTAGTGGGAGATCGAAATTTTTCATAATGATCCATGTATAATCAAGGACAACGCCTATCATGATCTGATAAAAAATTTGGGATGAAGTGGCCGAAAACTTAATTTTTTGTTTTTTTTTTCGAGGCGATCTATAGCCCACAATTGAAAGCCGAACATCATAACAAAACCCACGGTGAAGGGAATCTGGACCAGTAGTTAGAAGGGCTGTACTCAAAATTAGTAATATTTGTTAACCTCCAATCGGTCAAGAGGGTGCAAATATCACGAACTATTGCCCAACCTCAGAATATAGAACCACAAAAAGTTGGATTTTCGTGGAAGTTGTGTAGGGTATCATATGGTCGGCCCCGTCCGACTATACTGCTCCGTTCACTGGTTTAAAAATATTGTTTTCATAGATCGTCAATAATAATATTAAGAAACCGGGAGTTTTTATACCCTTCACCACTCTGTGGAACAGGATCTATGTCTTTGTCTATGTTTGTAACAGGCAAAAGGAAACGAGATAGACACATGGTTCCTTTTGAGAATATGCATAGAATCACTTTCTGAGTCGATTTACGCATGTTACGCATGTTAAATTTTAAACAAAGTACAGGTCGCATTTATGATCCGAATTGGATGAAATTTGGCATAGCTCATCTATTTGGCCCAAGGACGAGCCCTATTGAAATTGGGAAAAAGGGTTCAGATTTAGATATAGCTCCCATATAAATTTTCGTCCGATTTTAGGTAAATGGTGCTCCAAACTCCTTATATATCCTTCGATTTGCACGAAGTTTGGCACAGCGTACTGAATTAAGTCTAGAATGATATGTGCAAAGTTTCGTTAAAATCGCTTCAGATTTAGATATAGCTCCCATATATCTTTTCGCCCGATTTAAGGTAAATGGTGTACCAAAGTCCCTATATATCTTTCGATTTGCACGAAATTTGGCACAGCGTACTGAATTAAGTCTAGAATGATATGTGCAAAGTTTCGTTAAAATCACTTCAGATTTGGAAATAGCCGATTTAAGGTAAATGGTGCACCAAATTCCATACTAAATTAGGTCTAGAATAACGTGTGTTAAGTTTCCCATATATATTTTCGTCCGATTTAAGGTAAATGGTGCTCCAAAGTCCCTATATATCCTTCGATTTGCACGAAATTTGGCACAGCGTACTGAAATAGGCCTAGAATGATGTGTGCTAAGTTTCGTGAAAATCGATTCAGATTTAGATATAGTTCCCATATATATTCGTCCGATTTAAGGTAAATGGTGCACCAATGTCCCTATATATCCTTCGATTTTCACGAAATTTGGCATAGCGTACTGAATTAAGTCTAGAAAGAGGTGTGCAAAGTTTCATGAAAATCGGTTCAGATTTAGATATAGCTCTTATATATATATTTTAGTACGATTTAAGGTTAATAATGCATCAAAGTTCCGTTATATCCTTGGTTTTTCACGAAATTTGACATAGCGTACTGAATTTAGTCTAGAACGGTAAGTGTTATAATTCATGAAAATCGGTTCATATTTAGATATAGCCCCCATATATATTTTCGTCCGATTTAATGTAAATGGTGCACCACCCTTCCTATATATCCTTCGATTTGCAATTTGAAATTTGGCATGGTGTACTGAATTGAATTTATAATGTTGTGTGTTACATTTCGGAAAAATCGATTCAGATTTCGATATAGCTCCCACATATACATATTTATTTTTTTACGATTTTTTAAAAATATATTTTCAACGACCATCAATAGGCGTCAATTTTTAAAACGACTATCAATAGACGTAGATTTCTTTAAAAATATTTTTTTAGGAGAATAATTTTTTTGTAATCAATTTTGTAGTACAGTGTTTGTTATCACCAATATCGACGCATATGTAGTTCAAGGTGTTTATTATTTTATAAACATTTTATTTTGGACTTACCATCTTCAGTCTTATCACAATGATATACGATTGCGGACACGGAATAGCCACCATGACCATTTCAATGGAACCACAAACATTTACGGGTTTCAAAATTGGCTATGTCAATGTCCCTAATAACAATAACCATCATCGTAATCTTTGTCAACAACAACATCACATACATACAATGAAGAATGGGTAATTTGGGACAAATTGTCGCTATTGGACACTGACAAGTACTTGAGAAGTTATTTCAAATTAATATTGAATATGGTGATGAAAAAAAAAAAACAATAACAATAATAAAAGATAACTATTTATATTAAATTGAAATTAAATTTTTAATGAGGAAAAATTTGGGGGTAAATTAAAAATTAAATGAATCGAAATAGAAGAAGTTAAAAAAAGGCGTTATGGTCGGGCAAGTCGAATTTGCGGTACCCTTCGCCAGTAGAAAGTACGCCAAACAAAAGTCTCAACGTCTGAAATTAACCAGGTCGGTAACTGGTTTTTCTGTAGAAAACACCCCAAAGATCTGAGTGGTTGGAAAATACTGACCTATGGTCATTGGAATTTTTTCTATTGAAAAAATATCGATTTGTTGTTGTTGGTCCCTATTTAAAGTTCCATAAGAAATTCGCTGTCACTTTGACGTTAAACGTTTATCGAATGAACCCACATTTATTCGAGTCTATCACTCCAGAAAGGGGAAATATAACGACAATGGAAGACCCAAACCACCCTACAAAAGTGGACCCTATGTTATGTTACTGAACCCTATGTTACTGTACACTCCTACAAATTTTCAAATCAGAAATATGTTATTCTGATTAGATTAAATATTTAAACAAAAATAACAACAACAAAATCAAGGATGGGTGTCAATTTTCCGTCACTGATAATCTCTGGCCATGCAGCTAAAGTTGTTTTATTTATTTTTATTTTTTATCTTTAGGTCATAGACTTGATATTGACCGACAATTTTCCAACGTTTATCGACGATCATTTGGATTTTAGCCATTCGCGGTTAAGGTAGTCAGAACGAAGAAGAGCCCCCAAATTGAATCTATTTTTTAACGTCATGGCACTAAGGTGGACTGTCTTTGTGGTTACTTTGGCGTTTCTGATTGGACAATCATGTGAGTAATGAGAAAAGGTGTAACAAGATATAAAGGAAAGTGGAAATAAAAATGGATTGCCAAAATTTCAGTATGTGCCCCGCGATCGGATATCTTCGGAATTGGTAGGCTACAAGATCCCCGTATTATCAATGGAACCGAGGCCACCTTGGCAAATACAAAACATCAAGTTTCAATTAGACGTCGTATTAATGATGACTACTACTTTGGTATGGGTCACATTTGTGGTGGTTCCTTGATATCCGAAAATGTTGTCCTGTGTGCCGGACATTGTTTCACAGAGTAAGTTTCAAATAAAAAATGTGGAATATTTTTCTAGTGAAAAAATCACTCGTCTGTGAAAATTGTTTCTAAGAAAAAAACAGTGAGCGGAGCAGTATAGTCGGACGGGGCCGACCATATGATACCCTACAGAACTTCTACGAAAATCTATCTTTCTGTGGTTCTATATATTCTGAGCTTGGGCAATATTTCACGATATTTGCACCCTATTGACTGACAAGATGTCAACAAATATTTTTAATATTCAGTAGACGAGGGGTGTACTTGTCCAGATTCTGTTTACCGTGGGTTATGTTGTGATGTTGGGCTTTCAATTGTGGCCTATAGATCGACTCGAAAGCAAAAAAATAAAAAGTTAAGTTTTTAGTCCACTTCATCCCAACATTATTATCTGATCATCACAGAAAATTATAGGCGTTGTCGTTGACCATAACGGGAATCTCGTGGAAAATTACAAAGCGATCAGCGCTATATTTCCGCCCTCTAGTGTGGTAATGAGTTACTAAATAATATATGAATACCTGCAAATATTTAAGTGTAACTTCCACATCCGAGTACGTACGACAATATAATTGGTATCAATTTAAAGGTCAACCACTCCGCTTCGATACACTATCAACTTATTGGGTCTATATCCTTCAGGAGTAAATATATACACCATATAATACAAATTTTGTAAATTTTCACACAAAAGTCAGAGTCCATTTGACCCGCTAATATTGACAGATTTTTATCAAAACAAGCATGCTTATTCTTTGGCGCAATTCCCTTCTCCATGCAAAAATTCGGCCTCTGGAGGGACCAGAAAAACCGACAGAAATAAAGTTTTTGGTCCATTTCATCCCCTAAATATTAGCCGATCTTTTCCAAAAATAATAGGGGTCTTCCTTGGCCAGAACCCATCCTACATAAAAAATTTCTCGAAGATTGGTCCATAACTGTGGTCTGTATCGTGTTTAAAAATTATAATGGACAGCCGGACGGACGGACACACATGTCTAGATTGACTCAGCTAGTCGAAATATGAGGGTCGGTATACTTGAAAGTGGGTCTAGGATCAATATTTCGCGGCGTTACAAACTTTTGGAGCTGCACAAAGCTATAATACCCTGACAACATAGTTGTGTAGGGTATAATTATCGACCTGGGGTCTGTGGAATTTTTTCCATAAAAAAATCATTGACCTGGAGTCTGTGGATTTTTTTTCTATAGAAAAAACATCACCGAGACGGGGTCTGTGGAATTTTTTCTAAAGAAAAAAGTCACCGACTTGGGGTCTGTGAAAGATTTTCTATAGAAAAAATCACCGAAGGTCGACGGACTTTTTTCTACAGTCCTGTGGTCTGCGGAATATTTTCCAATCCTCATTTTTATACCCTTCACCACACTGTGGTACAGGGTATTATGTCTTTGTGCATATGTTTGTAACAGGCAAAAGGAAACGAGATAGACCCATGGTTCCTTTTGAGAATATGCATAGAATCACTTTTTAAGTCGATTTAAGCATGTCCGTCCGTCTGTCCGTCTGTCTGTCCATGTATTTTTGTGAGCAAAGTACAGGTCGCATTTATGATCCGAATTGGATGAAATTTGGCACAGCTCATTTGTTTGGCCCAAGGACGAACCCTATTATATATATTTTCATCTGATTTATGGTAAATGGTGTACCAAAGTCCCTATATATCATTCGATTTGCACGAAATTTGGTATAACATACTGAACTGGGCCCAGAGTGATGTCTGCAAAATTTCGTTAAAATCGGTCCAGATTTAGATATAGCTCCCATATATAGTTTCTTCCGATTTCATGTAAATGGTGCACCAAAGTCCCTATATATCTTTCGATTTGCACGAAATTTGGTATAATGTACTGAATTGAGCCTAGAGTGATGTCTGCCAAGTTTCGTAAAAATCGGTCCAGATTTAGATATAGCTCCCATATATAGTTTCGTCCGATTTCATGTAAATTGTGCACCAAAGTCCCTATATATCTTTCGATTTGCACGAAATTTGGCATAAGGTACTAAATTGAGCCTAGAATGATGTCTGCCAAGTTTTGAAAAAATAGGTATAGATTTAGATATAGCTCCCATATATAGTTTCGTCCGATTTCATGTAAATGGTGCGCCAAAGTCCCTATATATCTTTCGATCTGCACGAAATTTGGCACAGCGTAATGAATTAGGTATAGGATGATGTGTGTTAAGTTTCCTGAAAATCGATAGTAAGATATAGCTCCCATATATCTTTCAATTTGCACGAAATTTTGGCACAGCGTACTGAATGATGTCTAGAATGATGTGTTAAGTTTCCTGAAAGCGGTTTAGATTTAGATATAGCTTCTATATCTGACCAAATGGAACATTTAGTATCGGTTGCAGAATGACATGCATGGATCCAATTTCATTTTACTGGTCCTTTAAAATGCGACGTCTATTAGGATTCATCTGTTGTATATACCAAAGTGGTGAAGGGTATCATATAGTCGGTCCCGTCCGACTTTACTACTTTCCTTACTGGTTTCTTATTGTTTTTTTATATTTTTTTTAGTCAAGTAGCCTTCGATGGTAGCTATTTGCCTGATGACGAGTTCTTTGTGACCATGGGAAATTTGGATCGATTTGAACAGAACAACAACACCTTAAAGTTCGATATTAAAAAAATCGAAAAACATAGACAAGTATTTAACTTCTCCACGTACGAAGATGACATTGTTGTGATCATATTGAATGGCACAGTTCCCGCTGACCATCCCACCGTGAAACCAATTGTACTCAACGATGGAGAATTGAAAAATGGTACTGTGTGTCAAGTTACTGGCTGGGGTGTAACGGAAGAGGTAAGTCCGAAAAATTACGTGCAATGTGAATTTCTTATAACTGTATTTTTAATCGATTTAGGGCTACAATTCGGATGTCTTAATGACTGTCGATGTCCCCTATATTCCACCAAATGTGTGCCGCAAAGAATCGGCTTATTTGGAATTGATCAGACCCGGTATGATGTGTGCTGGTTATTTAGAAGGTGAACGTGATGCCTGTCAGGGTGATTCTGGTGGTCCATTGGTTTGTAATAATCGTCAGGCCGGTATTACCTCTTGGGGTAGCGGTTGTGCTCTACCATTGAAGCCTGGTGTCTATACTGATGTTGCCTTCTATAAGGATTGGATTTTTCAAAAGATAGCAGAAAATAATGGCACATTGCCAAAATTCGCCGGCAACGGATCAATGTCGATAAATAATGGTTCCATGTTGTTGGCTGCTATTGTGGTGACATGTAATGTGATATTTAAAATGTTTTAAATAAAAAAGATGGATTTAATATTTGGAATCAGATTTTTTTAAATTTGTTTTCTATAGAAAAAATTTTCAAGAACTACAGGACGGATACTTTTTCTATAGAAAAAGTTCTAAATAATGACAATTGGGAGACTGCTTCTATTGAAACAGTTCTCAACGACACAAGGACTTTAACTTTTTTCTATAGAAAAAAAATTATCAATGACCCCAGGACTTTTTTCTATAGAAAAAAAAAATACGCAAAGACATCAGGACGTTGACACTTTTCTATAGAAAAAGTTCTCAACGACCCCAGAACTTGCGTCAACGAACCAACAACGACCCCATGTCGTTGATTTTTATTTATTTTCCCTAGGGAAATGTATAAAATGTCCTTCCTGGCTTCATTGATCTTTATACCCTTCACCACACTGTGGTACAGGGTATTATGTCTTTATGCATATGTTTGTAACAGGCAAAAATAATCGAGATAGACCCATGGTTCCTTTTGAGAATATGCATAGAATCACTTTCTGAGTCGATTTATGCATGCCCGTCTGTCTGTCCGTCCATGTATTTTTGTTAACAAAGTACAGGTCGCATTTATGATCCGATTTGGATGAAATTTGGCACAGGTCACTTAATTGGCCCAAGGACGAACCCTATTGAAATTGGAGGAAATCGGTCCACGTTTAGGCATAGCTCCCCCAATTTTCGGTATTTTGAGGTTATTTAGCGCCTTTTTTAACTGAATTCGCTGAAATTTGGTACTTTGAGTTCTTATTGGGTAGCAAATCTAAAAAATTATAAATATAGGTCCATTTTTTCGGATAGTCCCCATATAAGGGTACCCCCAATTTTCGGTATTTTGGGGGTTTTGATCGCATTTTTCGACCGAATTCGCTGAAATTTGGTACTTTGAGTTCTTTTTGGGTAGCAAATCTCCCTACAAAAAATTATAAATATAAGTTAATTTTTTCGGATAGTCCACATATAAGGGTATCCCCAATTTTCGGTATTTTGGGGTTCTTGAGCTCGTTTTATAACTGAGTTCTCTGAAATTTTGTACCTTGGGTTCTTATTGGGTACCAAATTACTCCACTAAAAATTATAAATATAGTTCCAGTTTTACCGGCAGTCCCCATATAACGGTACCCCCAAATTTTTGGTATTTTGGGGGTTCTGATCGTATTTTTCGACCGAATTGACTGTAATTTAGTACGGCGAGTTCGTCGATTTCAACTTATTGACGCACCAAACTCCCAATAGTGATCCGATTGAGACAAAATTTTGCACAGAGTATTGAATTAGGTATATATAGTTATATGCCAAGTTTTGTTGAAATCGGTTCAGATTTAGATATAGCTTCGATTTATAGTTTCGTCCGATTTAATGTAAATAGTGCACCAAACTCCCAATAGTGGTCCGACTAAAGCAAAATTGTGCACAGAGTACTGAATTAGGTCCCGACTGATGTATGTGAAATTTTGTTGGAATCGGTTCAGATTTAGACATAGCTGCTATATATAGTTTCGTCCCATTTTATGTAAATGAAGCTCCATACTGCCAATATTTATCCGATTGAGACAAAATTTTGCACAGAGTACTGAATTAGGTCCCGAAATTTCTATATATACAGGATATTGTAGATACTAACATGTCTTGCATGTACCCATAGTGGTGAAGTGTATCATATTGTCGGCCCCGTCCGCCTTTTGAACTTTCCTTATTTTCTGTTGAAGGAGTGCTGAGGATCACAAGTGGAAGATTTTTTCTATTCTCAAAGATCACAGGTGGTTATTTTTTCTATTGAAAATAAATCAATGGACTCAAAAGCTAAATATTTTAATTATTTCTCAAGAAATCTCAAGATATAGAAAAAATAGATATAGAAAAAGAGATATAGAAAAAAAGACATAGAAAAAAATTCAGACCTGGGGTCTGTGGATTTGTTTCTATAGAAGGAAATATCAGACCTGGGGTCTGTAGACAAAAACGATAGAAAAAAATTAAAATACCCTTGGTCTGAAATTTTTTCTATAACCACGGACTTTATTTTTTATATCGGATTAATTTAAAGCAGGCCTGTAATTCTTCGAATCCGAAATTTGTCCTCATCTATATCAGTACATCTTTACCTCCTGACATTTGGTTCTGAATCTTACAATTCTGCCTATTCACTATAATTTTGACATTGATCTTTTATCAAATGAATCAACTTTTACTAGAATTTATCAGTCCCGCAAAGTGGGAAATACGACGACAATGGGAAATCCAAACTACAACCTAAAAATAAAAAATCAGGAAAACACCCCAGAGGCAATAAAAACAAACCCCATCGAGATACCCAGAAATCCAACAGAGCTATGTTACGTACTGCACACACAAAAAAGAATTTTCAAATCAGAAATACGTTATTCCGATTAGATTAAATATTAAAAAAAAAAAACAAAAGACAACAACAAAATTATGGTTGGGTGTCAATTTCCCGTCACTGATAATCTCCGATCGTGCATTTAATGTTACTTTTTTATTTTATTCTATGAAAACAATTTTAGGCAATAAATTATCACTTCTTTTAGGGACTCAAAATTGATATTGACCAACAATTGGCCAACGTTTATCGTCGATCATTCTGATTTTAGCCATTCACGGTTAAGGTAGTCAGAACGAAGAAGAACCCAAATATATTCTATTTTTGGACATCATGGCATTAACGTGGACTCTCTTCGTGGTTACTTTGGTTTTTCTGGTTGGAAATTCATGTGAGTAGAGGGGATGTCGGAAGGAAATATAAAGGAAAATAACAAATCGTCAAATTTCAGTATGTGCCCCGCCATCGGATATCTTCGGAATTGGTAGGCCACAAGATCCCCGTATTATCAATGGAACTGTGGCGACTTTGGCAAATACTAAACATCAAGTTTCTATTAGACGTCGTCTAAATGATGGTTACTTCTTTGGTACCGGACATATTTGTGGTGGTTCTTTGATTTCCGAAAATGTGGTGCTGTGTGCCGGACATTGTTTCACAGAGTAAGTTTCGAATTGAAACCAGGAAATGGGCGCGTGATATAAAAATATCAAAACTGGGTCTGTGAAATTTTTGTATAAAAAAATCAGACTTTTTGTCTGTGGATTTTTTTTATAGAAAAAATCACCGAACTGGGATCTGTGGATTTTTTTTTTGTAGAAAAAAATGACCGACCTTTAGTCTGTGGAATTTTTTCTATAGAAAAAAGTCACCGACCTGGGGTCTGTGGAATTTTTTCTATAGAAAAAAGTCATCGACCTGGGGTCTGTGGAATTTTTTCTATAGAAAAAAATCACCGACCTGGGGTCTGTGGAATTTTTTCTATAGAAAAAAGTCACCGACCTGGGGTCTGTGGAATATAGAAAAAAGTCACCGACCTGGGGTCTGTGAAATTTTTTGGAATTTTTTTTACAGAAAAATATTGGTCTTTGGGCCTGTGGAATTATTTTATAAAAAATCACCGAACTAGGATCTGTGCAATTTTTTTCTATAGGAAAAACATCGCCGACTTGGGATCTGTAGATTTTTTTTCTATAAAAAAAATCACAAAGCTGTATTCTTTGGATATTTTCTATACAAAAAATCACCTAAATGGGGTCTGTGAAATTTTTTTCTATAGAAAAAAAATGACCGACCTGGGGTATATAGAAAAAAAAAACAACAGACCTGGATTCTGTAAAATTTTTCCATAGAAAAGGTCAGCGCCATGTGGTAGGTGGAATTTTTTGCTATAGAAAAAAATCACCGAACTGGGGTCTGTGGATTTTTTATAAAAAAAAATCACTGACCTGGAATTTTTCTATAGATAAAAACAACCGACCTGGATTCTGTGAATATTTTTCTATAGAAAAAATTACCGGTCAGTTAAAATTTTCCATAGAAAAAATCAATGCCTTGGTGTCGGTGGCAATTTTTTTTATAAAAAAAACTCACCTGTGGATATTTTTCTATAGAAAAAATTTTGGAACTGTGGTCGTTGGATTTTTTTTTCTAAAAAAATATCGAACTTGTGGACTGTGAAATTGTTTTCTACAAAAAACAGCAGTCCTGCGGTCCGCCAAATGTTTCTCTATAGATAATAACAGCAGTACTGTGGTCTTTTGATTTTTTTCTCTATGGAAAAAGCAAAAGTCCTGTGATCTGACGATTTTTTTCAACAGAAAAAAATGTCAGTCCAGTGCTCTGCCAATTTTTTTCAGAACCTAATTTTTCTAATTATTTTCTTTTTATATTTTCAGTCAAGTAGCTTTCAATGGTAGCTATTTGCCTGATGAAGACTTTATTGTGGTCATGGGAAATTTGGATCGTTTTGAACAGAACGAAAACACCTTAAGGTTCGATATAAAAAAAGTCGAAAAATATAGACAAGTATTTAACTTCTCCTCGTACGAAGATGATATTGTTGTGGTAATATTAAATGGTACTGTTCCCGCCAATCACACCACCGTGAAACCAATTGTACTCAACGATGGAGAATTGAAAAATGGTACTGTGTGTCAAGTTACTGGCTGGGGTGTAACCGAAGAGGTGTGTCCGAAAAAAAATACTTACAATACACATTTCCTATAATTGTTATTTTTTTCATGAAAGGGCTACTCATCTGATGTTTTAATGACCCTCGATGTCCCCTATATTCCACCAAATGTTTGCCGCAAAGAATCAGCCTATGCGGAATTGATCAAACCCGGTATGATGTGTGCAGGTTATTTAGAAGGTGAACGTGATGCCTGTCAGGGTGATTCAGGTGGTCCATTGGTTTGTAAGAATGTTCAGGCTGGTATTACCTCATGGGGTAGTGGCTGTGCTCAACCTTTGAAGCCTGGTGTCTATACCGATGTAGCTTACTATAAGGATTGGATTCTACAAAAGGTAACAGAAAATAATGGCACATTGCCAAAATTCGCCGGCAACGGATCAATTTCGATAAATAATGGTTCGATGTTATTAGCAGCTATTTTGGTTACACTTAATGTGATATTTAAAATGTTTTAAATAAATAAATATAATAATATTTTTAAAAATATATATTAATGAATCGGGTTCCTGAGTTTTATTTTTGACACAATTAATACAATATTTTTTTAATTTTTTTGTTTTTAAATAAATATATGAAACATATTTTTTGGAGACCTTATCTAAGGACCTACAAGAAGGGTGAAATTTTAACATACTTTTTGGAGCCCTAATGAAGGCGTGGATTTTTTAAAAACACTGGTAGGCCCTGGCAAATCCGGTTTTTTTTTTAATTAATAAAATTTAAAAAAAAATACACATACCCTTGGTTTGATCAGACCCCAGTTTTGATATTTTTCTATAGAAAAAAATCACACACCCTAGGTCTGATATTTTTATAGAAACAATTTAAGGACCTTAGGTCTGTTATTTTTTGGTGTCTGGTCAGATATTTTTTTTATAAAAAGATCCGAAGACACTGGGTCTCATATTTTTTCTATAGTAAAAAAAAAATTCCACAAAATTCTAAATGATCCACAGACACTTGATCTGATATTTTTCTATAGAAAAAAATCCACAGACCCTTGGTCTGATATTTTTTTTCTGTAGAAAAATATTACTTAAATATTATAACAAGGTCGGTTATATTTCACAAATTGCACAAATCGCGATCGGTTATTCTTCTATCGAATTGTTTTCACAGTCGGTGATTATTTTTAATTAACCGTTACTTTTAAAAGTTTGTGTAAAAGCTTTTAAAATAAATTCCTGTAATTTCATAAGCTTTTATACTTTTTTTAATTTCTGAATTGTTAAAGCTTTTATCTCATTTATAAATTTGAAGCTTTTTTTTTGAAAAATTTTATATTGCGGTCTTTCCCAAATTCTTATCAAAATCAATGAGTTAAGTAGTGCTGCTACCAAAAGTTGTTGGTTATTTGCGTTAAATGTTATTTTGGAGTATTACCAATACTGCTTATCATATTATTTTCATATAATGAATATCGCGTGCGGCGCATATAGATTTTTAACCGGTTTGAACTGGTTCCACTAAAATAATAATCTAATAAATCTCAATATTTTGTGTTAAAAAATTCCGAATAATTTTGATAATAATTGCATAGTGAATGAGTGCAAAGGGACATTTTAACAAGTGAAGGTTACTTCCTCACAACTAGGTCGAGGGTCTATTCGAAGTAATATAGACTGCGAGTGATACAGTTTTTTTGTTATTAATTAATTAGGAAATACTCACACACATAAATCATTTTAATACGACCTGTCAACATCCAGCGTGACGGATATGTCCAAATCGACATAGATTTTATACTGATCAAAATCCGATAATATTATTAAAATATTTTTCATATTCTTGAATTAGGAAACTTTTTGGGGAATATTAATAAAAAATCATATTCGGTTTCTAGGCAGTGACCCACCCGATTGGTGGTATTCAACCCATCCACCGGTCTGTCCACGCTAAATTGTAAACAAAGTACAGGTCGAATTTTTGATTCGAATTGGATGAAATTTGAAATTGGGAAAAATCAGTTCAGATTTAGATATAGCTCCCATATATATTTTCATTCGATTTTATGTGAATGGTGCACCAAAGTCCCTATATATCCTTCGATTTGCATGAAATTTGGCATAGCGTTCTGAATTGAGTCTAGAATGTTGTGTGGTAAGTTTAAGGAAAATCGGTTCAGATTTCGATATAGCTCCCATATATATATTCGTCCGATTTTATGTAAATGGTGCACCAAAGTCCCTATATATCGTTCGATTTGCACCAAATTTGGCATAGCGTGCTGAATTAAGTTTAGAATGATGTGTGTTAGGTTTCGTGAAAATCGATTCAGATTTCGATATAGCTCCCATATATATTTTCCTCCGATTTAGGGTAAATAGTGCACCAAAGTCCCTATATATCCTTCGATTTTCACGAAATTCGGCATAGCGTACTGAATTGAGTCTAGAATGATGTGCGGTAAATGTCGGGAAAATCGGTTCAGATTTCGATATTGTAAGGATATGTAGGGGCTCAGTCGGACTTTCATCTGAGTTCATGCAAATTATGAACCAAATAATAAACGTTTATCCAATCGAAATAAAATTGCATTTTTTCATAGATTTCAGAATCTGTATGGGTTGATTTAAATCAGTTCAAATATCATGTGATCACATATTTAATTTCGTTCGAATGTATTTCAATGGTCCTCCAACGATGCTATGTCTGTTCTATCTACAGCATAAAGTACATATGACTATCTCTTTTATGTATCCAAAGTGGTGAAGGGTATCATATAGTTGGCCCCGTCCGACTTTTGAACTTCCCTTATTGTTTTTTACCTACCAAATGTTATTAATATAGCCCGATCTTTGGGTATACCATCCATACATACATCCAGGCACTTTATTTATTTTTGTTGTTGCATTTCTATCCGAAGTGAAATAAATTTAAGTTATGAAGAGGGTCAACAATTACTTTACTGAACATTTTCCAAGTTTCTACATAGCCCCCATGCAAAGCTTAATTTTTCAAACTGACTGAAGTTTTACCTTTTCTTTTCTTTGGCATAGTCCAGGCCGATTTAAAGTATTAAAAATCTGCACCTCATAGTGGAGTATAAAATGTTTGGCCCTGCCGAACTTAACGAAATTTGTACTTATTTGTATCCTTCAATATTTTTATAAAATAACTGCGCAGCCCATTTTCGGTTCTATAAAATTTTTGTTAGTATTGTTATTTTTGTGTTTATTGTTGTCCAAGAAGACCTTTAGCCCTTATTGTTTTTTTCATTCCGAATTCTTTTTTTTTTCAAATTTGTATGTTTCAAAAATGCTCATGTGTGTTATTCGTATTGCGAATATAAAGTGGTCAATTGATTATCAGACTTCAAGTCTAGACATTTATAATAAAGACATTAAAAATAGCACAACAATCTTTAATACAGCGGGTGTTCAAATTGGAAGGAACAGATTGCCCTCAAACAATGCGAAATAATTTAAATTATTTAATTAAAAACTATTTTTACATGAATTGGAAACTATTTGAGAAAAGCTGAAATGTAATAACTGTGATCTTTTTATATCTTTTTGTATTAATTTTTTAAAATATTCTAAATATTTCGTATTTCAGACACCCACCTGTCACGCCTTTATTATCGGTGAAACTTTCCAATAACTGCAAGAATATCACAAATTAAAGACAAGAACAAGAACCAAACTAGTTATAGGAAATAGTGACCAATTATAATCTAAAATATCATACTCGTACTATATCGTGGGGAAATTTTTGTGTTTAAATATTTTATTGACGTCACATTTTGTTATCGGAATGCCCACAACAATTGGATACCAAATAATGGGGGTTTTGTGAGCACGTGAACTTTAGCTATACAGTACAGGTTCAGTAAACGTTTCACAACGTGTCGATACAACAACATGTGTTGAATGTTATTTACATTTTTTATTATATATTTTAAATAAATTAATTCATTTCATCAAAATTTAGCCATGCTTTAGCAATTAAATTAATTTGTTATGTAAATGTGCCATAAAAAACGCACAATGTAGCGTGACGAGTTTTGCTACAGTAATACACAAATATAATTGAATGCCTAATATGATATCTCCTATATGAGCATACACGTTAACCATATATATATATATACAAGTTAAGTTCTGCCGGGGCGAAATCTCCACTAAACCTTATCAAATTGGGACTTTTTTATGGGAATTTTGCCTTGATAAATCGCTGGACCTGTCTGGACCTTAAAATTGTATTATTCATAGACGACCTAAAGAGGGCATCTATAGACTATGTAATGCCATAGATAAAGGTACCCTTTACAGACGTGTTAATATACGAGATAAGGAAGTCTTTTTAGACGAGTTTAGGGAAGTCTGCATAGATGAACTAAATGGAGTATTTATAGACGTGATGAAGGGAGTATGCTTAGACGAGATGAAGGGAGTATCCTTAGGCGTGCTGAAGGGAGACTTTAGAAATGAGCTGAAAGATTCTTTGAAGACGAGTTGAAGAGCACTCCTTTATTGACAAGTTGTAGGAACATTTTTAGACGATCTGAAGGGAGTCTTTCACAAACGAGCTAAACGTATAGAAACGCTGAGGAGATTCCTTATAGTCGAGCTGAAGGGAGTCTTTCTTAGACGAGCTGAAGGGACTCTTTCTTAGACGAGCTGAAGGGAGCTTTTATGGACCAATTGAAGGTCGTCTTTCATAGACAAACTGAATGGAGTCTTCCACGCTCTTTGACCATTAAGCAGGAGGCCAGGAACAGAGAGAGCTAGAGGAAGTTTCTGTAGTCGTTTAACAACGAATATTTAAAAGATGAGATCCCATAGCAGAGCTGAACCTTTGAAGGTATAGACAAGTAAAAACTGTTTAAATCCTCCAACATGAGAAGGATTTTTAAAACATTGATAAGATTTTTTGATCCTCGAAATTCTTACCTACAACAAAATCGGTTAGAAAATTCGGTTAGAACAATCAAAATTACTTCAAATTGGAGGAACCTTCATATGGGGACCCACGATAAACCCAACATAAGAAGTATCTAAAATAGTTAGACATATCTTAAATCGGTCGAAAACCTTACATGGGGACGTTGTTAAAAAAGAACATCATTAACAATTTTTGCAAAGCGTGTTTTAAACCTTCTGAATCCGGAAATACCTACTTATACCAATATCTTTTGGAAAATGTGGTTAGAATACCATAAAATTGGTCGAATTTTTATTAGGGGTCAGTTCGAAACAGATGCCTATAATGAAGATTTCTTGAGAAGACGTTAGAATCTTAGAACCTGGAATGAAAATTACAGCCAATGCGGATGAATACACGATGGGAAGCGTCTTCAAAATATTAGGTTAAGGAAAAAAATCCATTATTTTTATGTAAAAACATATTTTAACATGCCTCGGGTTTTCGGCTTGGGGCCAAATATGTACCGTTTTGTCGTATGATTTGTTGCAATTTTAAAGGTAACTTCAAAATACCTCTCTCATAGAAGTACTGTTCTCTATTTGCAAAAGATTTTATCCTCCCTAATACCAATTTTTTATCATTAAAGTAATTTTGGAATGCAAGAAAACTTCCCAACCAAGCTCTCCTGTTGGCCAATTCTGGCCGTTTCTGGTCAATTGCTATCTGCAAACAGGTTAGTTGTTGACAGTAGAGATCTTAATTTAGCGTTTGGCCATATGGATGCAACTCATAATAAATAATCCCCTTCCAGTCCCACCAAATGCATAGCAGAACCATCCTGGCCGTTAGTTCTGGTTTGGCCACCGTTTAAGGTGCTTCACCGCTATTTCACCATGATCCATTTCGCATCTCCAGTCACTTTCCGTTTATGAAATGGATCTATCTCATTCCGTTTGGCCAAGGCTTTGCAAATGGAAATTCAATCCATTCTATTTTTCTGTTAATTGGTGCGGCATCCAAACATCGAGCTTCTTTTTGTGAATGGTGTAAAACAGTTTTATGGTCGATTTTTAGCTCCTGGACGATGTTACGACTGCTAACATGCCGTTCAACTTCGATCATTTCTCCGACTTTATCGACATTTTCCACGACCGGCCTAATGGATTTATTTTTCCCCAACCTAATACATTAGCTCAGTCGGGACCCTTACATAGGTAAAATGTAAAAATATTAAATTTCATTAAAAATGTCCTCCACAATAGTTATTTGATCCTCTAAAATACCGAACACTGGACCTATAATCAAACTTTTCTGGGAAAAATGTTTTCAGCCTCCAACAAACTAAGGAGCCAAATTACAGTCCATTCTGTTAAAAAGGGGTCTGGAAGAAGTTTTTTTTTTATCAATCAATAGTCCAAAATTACAGCCACTTCGGTTAAAAAAGTTGGCTAAAATCTTCAAAATACCGAAAATTGGGCCGGTTGCGTTATATAAGGACTATACCCAAAATGAATCGATATATCCTATTCTCAATGGGAGTACAAAGCTCTATAATAAATATTGGGATTTTTATCGTAATATCTATAGACAGACGGCGATGCCTATGTAGATATAGAATTTTACTCAGATCAAGAATAAATATATTTTTTATGGAGTTTCCTATGAATATTTATTTCCTATAAGCAAAAAATGTACCTAAAATGTAAGCAAAGAGTATCAAACTGTCATTTGGACAGACAACACTGCATATCATTTCACACATGTATATCTTTGCCAAACCATCATAACCAATAAACATTGAATACTAAAACTAAAACACCTCTGTATTTTTCTTTATTTACTTTCACGGTTCTCTTGTTACACCCCCACGCCTACGGTCCACTGCTCGAAGCATTCGACGTACGCTCTGCCAATCGCGGAGCCCCTCTTAGCTAAACACTTGTAAAAATGCCAAGTCAAAAGATGGACCTATTTAAATTTTAATTTATCGGAAAGTGTAATTTACCCCCTAGCAACCCACAGTGTCAAATTTGCAGTCATTTTGGTGGCTAAGTCTTTACAAAATGCTGAAAATGGAGTGGTATCGTTGTGTGGGAACCTCACTAAATTATAGACCGATCCAATCCTACACTCAATTTCAAACATCCCAGGAGTACTAACAATGCATTTGTAACAAATTCAATAACATGAGCTCTGACGTGATTTCGACAGGCAGACACCCATCTGTCTGCCTGTCGGTCAAATGGGCATATAAATATATTTAGATCCGGAGAGGTCCAAAAAAGAATATTTATTTCCTGTACAAGGTCTTCTAATTTTATATACTTTCCATCGATATATTACCATATATATTTCATCGATAGAACCCTCCTCCAATAGGTGATCTGAAGATCTTAGTTTTTCTCATTTAGATCGTTTTATTCAGGGTCCACTGTATCCATATCTTTTTGTAACATAATCATATCTTCTATAATTTCATTTTATAAATATTAAAATCCGAAAATATTAATTTCTTTTAATATCATTCAGCAAGGTCGTGATCTTGTTATACACACATACACATATTTACATACAACCTAATCTTAAATTCATTGATAATTCCAGTTTTCAAAATTCTCACGGCAGAAATAAAGACGACTTTTATCGCTTCTGTAGTATTTTTTGTTGTTGTGTTTGTGTTAGGCTTTCTTGTATTTTTGTTGCTGTTGTTGTGATTGTGTTAGGCTTTCTTTAGCTTCATGGTGTTGTTTTTGTTGTTGCTGTGATTGTGTTAGGTTTTCTACGATTTTTTGTTTATTTCTTATCAATGCGAAAGTATCGAGAATTTATTAGCAAAACAAACAAACAAACGAAAAAGAAAAAAAGCAAAATGAAGAAATACAACAAGAATAAAAACAAAAGCTAGGTATCGTTGATACTATTCCTCCTAAATCCATCGAAGCTTTCTTGGGTATTAATAAAATTTGCAACATTTATTTGTAAATAGAGCGTGCTGGCAAACGGGCTCCGGTGGTAGTGTGGTGATCCTTTTTGAATCTGATGGTAGACAAGTGAAGTTTGTGAAAAAAATAATTAAAAAATAAAAATTATTAAAATTTCAAAATAATCAATAATAAAATAAAAATTGGCTAAAATGTATACCCACGAAGATATGAAGAAATTTTTTAAATTGGCCATTATCCTTTTGTTGTGCAGTGAAATGCAACCAAGTAAGTGATATGGGAAAAGTGAAAATTTAGAGTGAAAAAACTGCAACAATATTATTTTATGTGTAATATATCGAAGATGGAGAGATTAAAATTACTCATTGCAAAGTTTGTAAAATAAAAAAAGATCTATAGAAGTCCAACGATGGCTACCTGTAATAAATTAAATATAATAAAAAATATTTGTGGACCCTGTTTATATATGGCTGGCCTTCAATGTCTACATGTGATAAGGTTATTTGTTTTGAACATAACCTTTGAACTCTGTTAGCATGATTTTTGTAATCCAAATGAGAAAAGTTTTGAATTTAGTGATTTTGATTAACAGGCTATTTTATTAAAAGCATACAAAAGATTTTAAGGATTAAAAAATTGAATGTATACATTTATAAATTTAATTTTTAATGATTTTAGATCTAATAACCAAATGTATTGCTTCCTTTTTATTTTTTAACACATTTAAATATCCGTCTCTAGTCCTTAATATTTTCCAAAAATAATCAGTGATAATTGTGCCTGCATTGGTATTAGTTATCTTATCTCAGGTCTATATATGGATGGTATTCTCTTTGTTCTAAGGATTGTATATTAAAGTGGGGGCGTTTTTTCATAAAAAATTCTTCAGTTCAAAGTCCAAATTCAAAGACTTCTGCCTTCCATTGAAAATATTTTTGTTTTAATGTCAAGGACCTAAAATCCTTTCGTACAGTTCACATAATAATATGGACGAATATTTAACATGTTACAATTTCTCAGGATAAAGTCCCAATTTCCGTAAATTTTAAAACAGTGAAATTTATGTTTTTCTTTAATTTTATGACCAGTTGTAAATTCGAATATCAGTCCAGAATCCTTTATATATTCCTACCAGTGAACGGAGCAGTATAGTCGGACGGGGCCGACCATATGATACCCTACAAAACTTCCACGAAAATCTAACTTTCTGTGGTTTTATATTCTGAGCATGGACAATATTTTGCGATATTTCCACCCTCTTAACCGACTAGAAATCAAGAAATATTACTAATATTCCGTTCAGCAATCCTTTATTGTGCAGTTGTAAATTCGAATATCAGTCCAGAATCCTTTATATATTCCTACCAGTGAACGGAGCAGTATAGTCGGACGGGGCCGACCATATGATACCCTACAAAACTTCCACGAAAATCTAACTTTCTGTGGTTTTATATTCTGAGCATGGACAATATTTTGCGATATTTCCACCCTCTTAACCGACTAGAAATCAAGAAATATTACTAATATTCCGTTCAGCAATTGTGGCCTATAGATCGACTCTACAAAACACAAAAAATTAAGTTTTCAGTCTACTTCGTCCCAATATTATTATCTGATCATCACCGAAAATTATAGGCGTTGTCCTCATGGAAAATTTCAAAGCGATCAGCGCTATATTTCCTTCCTCTAGTGTGGTAATGGGATACTAAATAATATAGGAATACGTACGCACCTATAAATATTTACGTGTAACTCCCACATCCGAGTACATACGTCATATAATTGGTATCAATTTAAAGGCCAGCCACTCCTCTTGGATATACTATGTCCGTCAGGAGTAAATATATACGCTATAGAATACAAATTTTGTAATTTTTCACACAAAAGTTAGGGCCATTTGACCCGCAAAATATTGACCGATCTTTATTAAAACAGTCATGCTTATTCTTCGGCCCGACCCCCTTCTCCATGTGAAAACTCGCGATGTTAGGACCATAATTGTGACCTGTGGAGCGAGCAGAAAATCAGACAAATACTAACCGATCTTTACCAAAAACAATAGGGGTCTTCATTAGCCAGAACCCATCCCACATGCACAATTTCGTGAAAATTGGTCCATAACTGTGGCTTGTATCGTGTTTACAAATTATAATGGACAGACGGATGGACACACATGTCTAGATCGATTCAGCTAGTCGAGATATGACGATCGGTATACTTAAAGGTGGGTCTAGGATCAATATTTCGCGGCGTTACAAACTTTTGGGGCTGCACCCTGACAACATAGTTGTGTAAGGTATAACAATAATGTGTGGCCTTTGGTTTTCCATTGCAATCGGTTATCTTATCGTAATTCTATATCTGGATGTTATTATCTTTGTTCTAAGGAGTATTTATTATTCAAAGTTCATAGTCCATGTTCAAAGAAGTCGAGCCTAAGATAATAATTATCGGAAACAACAAAATTACGGTTCAAAAAGCTTTGTATATTTATTTCAAGGACCTCCTAACCATACTAGCGAAAAATACCATACCCGACCCACCATTAGGGTGCTCTTAGGATTGTACAATAAATTTGATTGATCGGATGGTGTGGTCCATAGGCATGGATTTTTAAAGAATTTTTGAGGCTTCCATAGAAGTGTTTTTTTTTAAGATTTTTAGAGGTGGATTTTTTAAAATATTTTTTTCAGGCGTGGATTTTTATAAAAATTTTGCACATGGTTCCTTTTGAGAATATGCATAGAATCACTTTTTAAGTCGATTTATGCATGTCCATCCGTCCGTCCGCCTGTCCATGTTAAATTGTAAAGAAAGTCGATGGTGCAACAAAGTCCTAAAATATCTTTCGATTTGCACGAAATTTAGCATAGGGTACTGAATTGAGACTAGAATGATGTGTGTCAAGTTTCTAGAAAATCGGGTCAGATTTAGATATAGCTTCGATATATATTTTCGTCCGATTTAAGGTAAATGGGGTACCAAAGTCCCTATATATCATTCGATTTGCACGAAATTCGGCATAATGTACTGAATTCAGTCTAGAACGATGTGTGTAAAATTTCGTGAAAATCGGTTCAGAATTAGATATAACTCTCATATATAGTTTTGTCCGATTTTATGTAAATGGTGCAACAAAGTCCCTATATATCTCTCGATTTGCACGAAATTTGGCACACCGTACGGAATAAAGTCTAGAGTGATGTGTGCTAAGTATCGTGGAAATCGGTTCAGATTTAGATATAGCTCCCATATATATTTTCGTCCGATTTTAGGTAAATAGTGCCCCAAAGTCCCTCTATATAGTTCGATTTGCACGAAAAAGCGTACCGAATTAAGGCTAGAACGATGTGTGTTAAATTTCGTGCAAATTGGTTCAGATTTAGATAGAGCTCCCATATATATTTTCGTCCGATTTAAGGGAAATGGGGCACCAAAGTCCCTATATATCCTTCGATTTGCACGAAATTTAATTCGTCGTACTGAATTAAGTCTAGAACGATCTGTGTAAAATTTCGTGAAAATCGGTTAGGTTTAGATAAATCTCCTATATTTTCGTCCGATTTTAGGTAAATAGTCCATCAAAGTCCCTATATATTCTTCGATTTGCACGAAATTTGGTATAGCGTACTGAATTAAGTCTAGAACAATGTGTGTTAAATTTCGTGAAAATCGGTTCGGATTTAGATATAGCTCCCATATATATTTTCGTCCGATTTTAGATAAATTGTAAATCCCTAAATGTCTTTCGATTTGCACGAAATTTGGCACAGCGTACTGATTTAAGCCTAGAATGATGTGTGCTACGTTTCGGGAAAATCGGTTAAGATTTAGATATAGCTCCCATATATATTTTCGTCCGATTTTAGATAAATAATGCACCAAAGTCCATATATATTCTTCAAAAAGAAGTTGCAAAAAGACATGAGTATGTTCCTTCGAGGGAACATTGACATTCAATTGTAAGAATACAGTCCGACTTTACTACTTTCCTTACTGGTTTATTTCTCTTTTTTTTTTTAATAATTTTAAAAATGTAGAATTTTGTTGTTGTTGTTTTAAAATATTAAAAACGACATCATTGATTACTTTCGAATAGGGCTGGAAAAGTGGCGTTTTTAATGTTTTTAAAAGATTTTTTTTCAAGACGTGGAATTTTTAATATTTTTAGAAAATAGAACTCTATGACTTTCTATTGCCCATAGAATTGGATTTTTAATAGGTATTCATTATTTCTATAAGATTGATATCTCGCATTATTTTAAGCCCATTCAAATTTTATTTCACAATCCCACCACCAGGTGTACCCTTACAAATTCCTGTTTCTGATCATTTCATACTGGTCTTCAAAAATAAAATATTTATTTTGACAATTACGAGTGCATTGCCTCTAATCGGGTGATCGCTGATTTTCTAGTATATTCAAATAATGCATTCCAAAAATATATATTTATGATTTTCAAGTCACGTTCACCCAGTGAATACAAGTAGCTGTTATTGTTTTGAGTGAACAAATCTAATCATCCAATAACCACAGATAAATTCTTTAATGCTGACTATATTATAATAAAAAATTTGGTATTCAAAATATGATGATAAGTTGGTAACAAAAATTTTGGAAATATTCTATAATTCCAAATGACGTTACTAATTCTAATCTTCGGTCACGCATACGCTCACTCTCTAAATCGGTCACTTCAAAAGATAAAAAATTTCCATAAACGGCTGCTTATCGCGATTTTGTGAGGGGTAAACTAACAAAGTTGGTAACAAGAAGCACAGCAAGAAAGTATGGCCTTAACCTAGCGGGGTAAACGTAGCGAGCAAAACAAAAGAACAAAAACACAATCATATTATTATTATTGATACTGTATTGAAGACTTATCCGTTGCCAGGTCCAATTTTTGGTATAAATCACATTTTTATTTTTAAAAAACAATTGAAATTCGGAAAGTACAGCAAAATGTACTTGAGAATAAATATCGTATGATTTTTGTTTTGCTCGTTGCATTTTATTTATTTTTGGTATATAGATAGATACGAAGGTGTGTATGTATGTATACGTATATCAAGCGGTGTGCGTAAGGTATGTAGTAGGCTCTTGCTTTGCTGGGGGTACTTCTATGTTGTTTAAAAAAATTGTCATGAAATTGTTGAACTTCTTATCAGCGTAAATAATTAAAAAATAATAAAAATATATAAACAAAGAAGACATACATACATATACATGTATAAAAAAAAATTAGAAATATAAATGAAATTTGTTAGTCAAATTATACAAAAAAAAAATAATTTTTGCGTTCTTCTTTTGCAGGTGACACACAATTGGATACATATGAAAATCGTATTTTATATTATCGTGCCGATCATAATGCCACTGTAGCCACCTTGGATAGCAGTAAATATCACGCCTCTATTAGACTCAAGGAAAAAGATGGACGTTATGGTGCGGGACATATTTGTTCGGGGGCATTGATAGCACCATCGGTGGTTTTGACAGCAGCTAGTTGTGTATACAAGTAAGTACAAGACCTAAAAGTATGCAATAAATTTTAGTTTATTTCGTTAAATTAAAAAAAATCTGCTATAAGATATTTTTAGTTTTTTTTTTCAATGGCCAATAATGCCTTGATTTTTTTAAAAATAATTTTTCAAGAGCTAAGCCTACTTATTTTAAAATATTTTTTTTCAAGGAAAAAATCGGTTCAGATTTAGATATAGCTCCCATATATATATTTTCGTCCGATTTAATGTAAATGGTGCACCAAAGTCCCTATATATCTTTCGATTTGCACGAAATCTGGTATAGTGTACTGAATTAGGTCTAGAATGATGTGTGTTAAGTTTCTTGAAAATCGGTCCAGATTTAGATATAGGCCACATATATAAATGGTGTACCAATGTCTCTATATATCTTTCGATTTGCGCGAAATTTGGCATAGCGTAATGAATTAAGTCTAGAATGATGTGTGCAAGGTTTCCTGAAAATCAGCCCAGATTTAGATATAGCTCCCATATATATTTTCGTCCAATTTAATGTAAATGGTGTACCAAAGTCCCTATATATCTTTCGATTTGCACGAAATTTGGTATAGAGTAATGAATTGGGTCTAGAATGATGTGTGTTAAGTTTTCTGAAATTCGGTCCAGATTTAGATATAGCTCCCATATATATTTTCGACCGATTTAATGTAAATGGTGCACCACAGGTCAAGAATGATGTGTGTTAAGTTTCGTGAATTTTGTAGGAATCGGTTCAGATTTAGATATAGCTTCGATTTTGCACAAAATATATTTAAATTAGTATAACTTAACCTGTGACAAGTTCCGATTAAATGGGTTTTGATTTCCATATAGCTTTTATATATATTTTCCGATTTTTAGTAAAGGGTGCACCAAACTACTCATATTTATCCAATCGGACACCCGGATTGATATTTGCTTTAAATGGGCTTACATAAATTTGTCCCATCTGACCAAATGAAAAATATACTATAGGTTACAGAATGGCATGTGTATGGATACATTTTCATGTTAATGGTCCTTCAAAGATGCGACGCCTGTTAGGATTCATCTGTTGAATATACCCAAAGTGGTGAAGGGTATCATATAGTCGGCCCGTCTGACTTAACTACTTTCCTTTCTGGTTTTAAATATATTTTCGAGGCGTGGATTTAAAAAAAATCAAGGGCCAAGGCGTGGATTTTTTTAAAAATAATTTTTCAAGGCGTGGATTTTTTTAAAAAGATTTTTTTTAAGGCTTGGATTTTTTTAAAAAGATTTTTTTAAGGATTGAATTAAAAAAAAAAAAAAAAAATAATTATATTATTCGATTTTTTTAAAAATATTTTTTCAAGGTATGGATTTTTTAAAAATGTGTGTTTTAATGGTCACATATAGTGGATTTCGTAAAACATATTTTTAAGACCCAAAGAGGCGTAGATTTATTTTTATATATTTTCAAGGTTTCCATAGGCGTGGATTTATTTCAAAATATTTTTCAAGGTTTCCATAGGCGTGGATTTATTTCAAAATATTTTTCAAGGTTTCCATAGGCGTGGATTTATTTCAAAATATTTTTCAAGGTTTCCATAGGCGTGGATTTATTTCAAAATATTTTTCAAGGTTTCCATAGGCGTGGATTTATTTCAAAATATTTTTCAAGGTTTCCATAGGCGTGGATTTATTTCAAAATATTTTTCAAGGTTTCCATAGGCGTGGATTTATTTCAAAATATTTTTCAAGGTTTCCATAGGCGTGGATTTATTTCAAAATATTTTTCAAGGTTTCCATAGGCGTGGATTTATTTCAAAATATTTTTCAAGGTTTCCATAGGCGTGGATTTATTTCAAAATATTTTTCAAGGTTTCCATAGGCGTGGATTTATTTCAAAATATTTTTCAAGGTTTCCATAGGCGTGGATTTATTTCAAAATATTTTTCAAGGTTTCCATAGGCGTGGATTTATTTCAAAATATTTTTCAAGGTTTCCATAGGCGTGGATTTATTTCAAAATATTTTTCAAGGTTTCCATAGGCGTGGATTTATTTCAAAATATTTTTCAAGGTTTCCATAGGCGTGGATTTATTTCAAAATATTTTTCAAGGTTTCCATAGGCGTGGATTTATTTCAAAATATTTTTCAAGGTTTCCATAGGCGTGGATTTATTTCAAAATATTTTTCAAGGTTTCCATAGGCGTGGATTTATTTCAAAATATTTTTCAAGGTTTCCATAGGCGTGGATTTATTTCAAAATATTTTTCAAGGTTTCCATAGGCGTGGATTTATTTCAAAATATTTTTCAAGGTTTCCATAGGCGTGGATTTATTTCAAAATATTTTTCAAGGTTTCCATAGGCGTGGATTTATTTCAAAATATTTTTCAAGGTTTCCATAGGCGTGGATTTATTTCAAAATATTTTTCAAGGTTTCCATAGGCGTGGATTTATTTCAAAATATTTTTCAAGGTTTCCATAGGCGTGGATTTATTTCAAAATATTTTTCAAGGTTTCCATAGGCGTGGATTTATTTCAAAATATTTTTCAAGGTTTCCATAGGCGTGGATTTATTTCAAAATATTTTTCAAGGTTTCCATAGGCGTGGATTTATTTCAAAATATTTTTCAAGGTTTCCATAGGCGTGGATTTATTTCAAAATATTTTTCAAGGTTTCCATAGGCGTGGATTTATTTCAAAATATTTCTCAAGGTTTCCATAGGCGTGGATTTATTTCAAAATATTTTTCAAGGTTTCCATAGGCGTGGATTTATTTCAAAATATTTTTCAAGGTTTCCATAGGCGTGGATTTATTTCAAAATATTTTTCAAGGTTTCCATAGGCGTGGATTTATTTCAAAATATTTTTCAAGGTTTCCATAGGCGTGGATTTATTTCAAAATATTTTTCAAGGTTTCCATAGGCGTGGATTTATTTCAAAATATTTTTCAAGGTTTCCATAGGCGTGGATTTATTTCAAAATATTTTTCAAGGTTTCCATAGGCGTGGATTTATTTCAAAATATTTTTCAAGGTTTCCATAGGCGTGGATCTATTTCAAAATATTTTTCAAGGTTTCCATAGGCGTGGATTTATTTCAAAATATTTTTCAAGGTTTCCATAGGCGTGGATTTATTTCAAAATATTTTTCAAGGTTTCCATAGGCGTGGATTTATTTCAAAATATTTTTCAAGGTTTCCATAGGCGTGGATTTATTTCAAAATATTTTTCAAGGTTTCCATAGGCGTGGATTTATTTCAAAATATTTTTCAAGGTTTCCATAGGCGTGGATTTATTTCAAAATATTTTTCAAGGTTTCCATAGGCGTGGATTTATTTCAAAATATTTTTCAAGGTTTCCATAGGCGTGGATTTATTTCAAAATATTTTTCAAGGTTTCCATAGGCGTGGATTTATTTCAAAATATTTTTCAAGGTTTCCATAGGCGTGGATTTATTTCAAAATATTTTTCAAGGTTTCCATAGGCGTGGATTTATTTCAAAATATTTTTCAAGGTTTCCATAGGCGTGGATTTATTTCAAAATATTTTTCAAGGTTTCCATAGGCGTGGATTTATTTCAAAATATTTTTCAAGGTTTCCATAGGCGTGGATTTATTTCAAAATATTTTTCAAGGTTTCCATAGGCGTGGATTTATTTCAAAATATTTTTCAAGGTTTCCATAGGCGTGGATTTATTTCAAAATATTTTTCAAGGTTTCCATAGGCGTGGATTTATTTCAAAATATTTTTCAAGGTTTCCATAGGCGTGGATTTATTTCAAAATATTTTTCAAGGTTTCCATAGGCGTGGATTTATTTCAAAATATTTTTCAAGGTTTCCATAGGCGTGGATTTATTTCAAAATATTTTTCAAGGTTTCCATATGGATTTGGGTTTATTTCAAAATATTTTTCAAGGTTTCCATATGGATTTGGGTTTAGTTTCGTTCGTGTGAATTTTTTTATTAACACTTTTCAAACCGTAGATCTTCTTCTTTATCAATTCGCAATCATTTCCCATATATCTCCCCTAGCAATACAGACAATTTCGAATGCAATTTCATTATCACAAATTCAATAATTTCCCTTCTTTCTTCTTCTATTTTGCAGTTATGATGCCAATAAACCTTATCATCCCTCCGAACTGAAAGTTGTCTTGGGCTCTGTATCACGCTATCAAAAGCACGAGCAAACTTTAATCTATAGTGTGACTCACAATTATCAATCGCCTGGCTTTGATGCCATAAAGCTACGTGACAATTTGGCCATACTAATGTTAGAAAATGATGTACCTGAAATGAATGCAAACATCAAACCGATTACTTTGCAAACATACAACACTAATTGGTATAGCAGCAAAGCTGATATGAAATTTAAGGTTACCACCTGGTTAGAAACACAAGAGGGTTTATTTTTAAATCCGTTGATGTTTTTGGATGCCAGTCGAATAGAAAATGAAGAATGTTTGAAGCAGTATGGTCCCGTCTATGGTCCTGGCATGTTGTGTATGCGCACCATGGAATCGACAATGCAACATGATGTTGGTTCTCCCCTATTTTTGGATAATAAATTAATAGGGTTGATGAGCATCAACAATGGACTTAAGAATCCGGCCATTTTTACTGATGTTGCATATCACGGCAAATGGATACGGGAAGTGATCGGTGATGGCCATCATAAAAATAGTGCAATTTGGGGTATGTTGGGTTTCTTGGCGCTCACATGGTTAGCTTTGAAGCGTATTAAATATTTTAAGTTTTGAAATATTTTAGTTGTAAACTAAAAGTTGTAGATCTCGTTATAATTTTTTAAAATGTTAAATAGTTTTAAGTGACACCATTTATTTATTAATAACTATAGAGTACAAAAAATCGGAAAGACTGTTTTATAGTTTTTCATAAACTAATTGTAAATAAAAAGTATGTAGACATATTTAAAACCAATTGTTGTTTTATTACTTTTTTGAAAAAAAAAAATATTAAAAAATCCATGTTTACGGAACCCTGGAAAATTAAAAAAAATCCAATCCTATATTAAAAAATCCAAGCCTGTTTAGCCATTATAAAAAATGTTAAAAAATATTAAAAAATAGGCCTGTTTAGCGATTATAAAAAATGTTAAAAAATATTAAAAAATAGGCCTGTTTAGCGATTATAAAAAATGTTAAAAAATATTAAAAAATAGGCCTGTTTAGCCATTGAAAAATGTTGTTAAAAAATCCACGCCTTCTTTGGAACTTGAAAAAATGTTGTTAAAAAATCCACGCCTTCTTTGGAACTTGAAAAAATATTTTTAAAAAAATCCACGCCTTGTTTGGCCGTTGAAAAAATATTAAAAAAACTCAAGCCTTCTTTACTTACTTAGCTGGCCTGTGACAGGACTTTCGTTCCATAAGCCGAGCTTAAAAAACATTTCCAGGCGTGTCGGTCTTTTGCGCAGTTTTTTTTCTATTTGTAAGACCATCTTCGGCAATGTTGTCTTCCACTTGATCTTTCCATCTTATTCATGACCTTCCTCTTCTGCGTGAACAATCAGCTGGTTCGCTTTGCCTTCTGGGCGGGGGCATCTTCATCCATTCTCACAACATGACCTAGCCAACGTAGTCGCTGCAGCTCAATACGTCTAATAATGTCGATGTCCGAGAATAGCTGATAAAACTCATGGTCCATAGATCTTTCGGAGAATTTTTCTCTCAAACACTCCACTCATCTGCTTGCGCAAGTACCCATACTTCAGATCCATATAACAGCACGGGTAGTATCAGCATCTTGTAGAGTGTGAGTTTGGCCTGGCGGGAGGTAGCCTTGCTTTTGAGTTGTTTGCTCAGACCATAGTAGCATCGGTTGGTCATCACTATCCTTCTCCGAATTTCAAAACTGATGTCATTCGTTTTATTTATGACGGTACCAAGATATATACAATCTTTGACTACCTCGAAGCTGTAGTTTTCAAGTTCCACAGTTGGTCCGAGTCTACCGGACATCTTGCGCGCTGATACCATCAGCTTGGTCTTCTCGCCGATTACTGCCAGACCCACTTTGGTGGACTCCTTCTCAATTTGTTCAAAGGTGGCTGTTATCGCTCTCAATGTTCGACCCATTACGCCGATGTCATCGGCGGAGCCCGGGCCCCCCGAAATGAATTTTTTTTCACAGTAAATTTATGTTTGCAACAGCGAATTTTTTCATTTTGTACTGCCGGTGGATTTGTAAGGTCTGAAGCCGCATTGGTATGGTCCAATAATGTCATTGACCATTGGATGCAGTCGTTCACACAACACGCTGGATAGCACTTTATATGCGATGGGAAGGAGACTTATTCCTCTATAGTTGGCACATATCGTCTTATCTCCTTTTTTGTGCACGGGACACAGGATGCTGAGGTTCCAATCATTGGACATGCATTATTCTAGCCAAATTGTACTAATCAGCTGGTGAATGCTCCTTACCAGCATTTGACCACCAGTCTTGAATAGTTCGGCTTGTAACCCATCGTCACCTGTTGCTTTATTATTCTTCAGCCGATTGATTGCTATTCTGACTTCATCTTGGCTAGGTGGTATACATTCTATACCGTCATCTCTTCTTGGTTCTGGGGTATCCTCTTCACCGCTGCTATTTGATACCACAAGTTTTTCAAAATGCTCCTTCCAGATCCACAGCATGCTGTCTGTATCTGCAACAGGGCTTCCTTCTTTATATCTACAGGAGGATGTGCCTGCACCAAAGCCTTCGGTTTGTTATCCATCCTTCCCGATAGTTATCCATCAAATTACGTGTTGCTACTGTCCGCAGGGTTGCCCTATACGCTGCGTTTTTCATATCAGTAGCATTACGACACTCCTGATCGTACCACGGATTTCATAATGGTGGTCTTTGGTACCCAAGTGTTGCTTTTGCTGCAGTTTGTAGGAAGCAATTCTCTGCCATTGGGCTTCTATATTATTATCGGGACAAGGAGTGTTTTCGTCAAGCAGTTAGGTTAGTTGAGCGGAGAAGGCTTCTTCTATCTGTTGTGTTTGCAGGTTTTCGACGTTAAATTTCCGTGTTACATTAGATCGCACCTTTGCTGGTAAGGTAAGGTAAGGTAATGGTCCGAATCGATATTCGCTCCCCCGGATCGATCGGACGTCTAAAACACTGGACGAATGCCTTCCGTCTATCACAACATGATCGATTTGATTTCTCGTTGTTCGATCGGAAGAAATCCAAGTGGCCTTGTGTATATCGAGATGCTTGAATCTGGTGCTGCTAACTACCATGTTTTTGCTGCTGCGAAGTCAATCAACCTTATGCCGTTGTCTGATGTTTCTTCAAAGATATTTTCCCTTCTGCATTAAAATCTCCAAGTAGAATTTTTATGTCATGGCCAGGGCAAAGGTCATATGCTGTTTCTAGGCGTTCGTAAAATATGTTTTTGGTCTGTTCATCTTTATCTTCGGTCGGAGCATGGGCGCAAATGAGACTGATGTAGAAGAACTTCGCTTTTATACGGATTATAGCAATTCGCTCATCAACTGGAGTGAATCTGGAGACGAGGTCTTTTAGTCTCCTGTTAACCATAAATCCACAGCCAAATTCATGTCTCGTTTCATGGCAGCTATAATACAGTGCGCAATCGTCTGATTTTCTTAAGCTTTCCATCGCATTTCCTGTAAGGCAATAATATAGGCTTTGTACTTCTTGAGTACCTCCGCCAAAGGGAACACTGCGCCTGTTCTGTTCAACGTTCGCGCATTCTAAGTGCAGATTCGCAGATCGTGGTCCTTTATAAGTTTGCGGGGTAGTCAACATTAAGGGGGTTTGGTTTTCTTTTCATAGTAGGTTGGGTTTTCCGAGAGTGGGCAACTAACCCGACGCCTCAACCCATTTTTTTATAGTTTTTATGGGTGAACTCAAGGCACATATTAGCTCACTATTTCAGCGGGTTATGAAAATAGCTACCCCAGGTGGCACGTGGGGGAGGTCAGTGTCCACAATTGAGATGAAAGAGGGACCAAGATATGCCTGGACTTCGCCATGTTAAAGCCAATCAGAGCCGTTGCTTGGTATCTATCATCCCGTACGCCACCCCTCCCAAGCCTTGTTTGGCCCTTGAAAATATTTAAAAAAATCCTCGCCTGTTTGGCTATTTAAATAAATCCACGCCTCTTTGGCTTCTGAAACATATTTTTAAATAGATTTAAAATAAATAGGACTTTCAAAAATGTATTTTTAAATCAATCCTTGCCTTCTAGAATTTTTGAAATAAAATTTATTAATTTATATTTATTGTTAAATTAATTTAGAAACAATACTTAAAAATACCAAAATTACATAAATTACATTTCGTTCGAAAATCGTTGTCGATGAATTCGTACCATGTGTGGAATTTGAACCACCTGTGGAATTTTTGGCATACGGTATAATTGTATAATTAAAATATGCATTAATTGGAGATAAATCATCGACATGTTGTAATTTGGAACCAGTTTTATTACGTATCCAATCAATGTAGTAGGCAACATTGGTATATACGCCCGGAAAGCCAGGCTTGGCACAACCAACACCAAACGAAACAATACCCACAAGTGTGTCATCGCAAACCAAAGGGCCACCTGAGTCAGCAGAACAGGCGTCACGTCCTCCAGACATATAACCGGCACATAACATACCTGCAGTTAGACTTTCGTCTCCATAATGTTCGGAGCACACGGAATGGCTGATAAGGGGCACTTCGACTAAACGTAGAGTTTGAGCATAATAGCCCTGAATAAGAGGGGAATGAATGTATTATTATATAGTTTATTTATGGATAAGCCTTTCCTTACCTTCTCTGTTAGACCCCATCCACTGACGGTACACTTGGTACCCGCCGTTAAATTTGCATTTTCATTCAATTCAATTAGTGATGCTCCTCGGTAATTACTGGGTACGGTTTGGTTTAAAATCATAATTGTAATATCATCTTCGAATGTTTCGGGATCAAAATTGGGTCCCACAATTATATCCTTGACTGATAATTGTAATGTATTACCATCTTTCTTTGTACGATCCAAATTACCCATTACAATGGAATAGTCCTGAGGTGAATGGAATTTTTGCTGATTGTCACTGAAAAATAAAACAAAATAATGAAAAGTTATGATCGTTGAAATTAATTAAAATTTTAAAAAATTAATTAAAATTAATTAAAAACCAGTGAGCGGAGCAGTATAGTCGGTCCAGTGAGCGGAGCAGTATAGTCGTACGGGCCGACAATACGATACCCTACACAACTACCTCGGGGCTCTAACTTTCTGCGGATTTTTATTCCGAGCCTGGGCAATATTTCGTAATATTTGCACCCTCTTGGCCGATTAGAGATCAACAGCTCTTAATTACACTGATATATTTTCAGACACCCATTGATTATTTGGTGTACAATTAACATAAATAAGTCGAAATGTTATATGGACACTATCGATTTCAAGCAAACCTGCCAGAGATTAGTTTAAATTAACTTCAGTACGTTGTGTCAATCGGCCAAGCTGTGGATCTTTAGTGCACAATTTACTTAAAACCGGACGAAAAAATATATAGGAGGTGTACACATCATTCTAGACTTAATTTAGTACGCTATGCCAAAATTCTTACAATTAAAAGATTTGCAGGGACTTTTGTGCACCATTTACCTAAAATCGGTCGAAACTTAGCACACATCATTCTAGACCCAATTCAGTAGGCTATACCAAATTTCGTGCAAATCGAAAGATACATAGGGACATTGGTACGCCATTTACCTTAAATCGGACGAAAATATATATGGGAGCTATATCTAAATCTGGACCGATTTTTCCCAATTTCAATAGGGTTCGTCCTTGGGCCAAATAAGTGAGCTGTGCCAAATTTCATCCAAATCGGATTTCATCGCATATTCTCAAAAGGAACCATGGGTCTATCTCGATTCCTTTTGCCTGTTACAACATATGCACAAAGACATAATACCCTGTACCACAGTGTGGTGAAGGGTATAAAAATCGCACTTACCTCCTATTAAACTACCACCACACACATGACCAATTCCAAAGAATACTCTATCCAGAACCTTCATACGAATCGACACTTGATATCGGGTATTATTCCAAGTCACTTCGGTGCCATTGATAATACGTGAATCCCATTGAGGTGTCAAAGCGTGTGTTATCAAAAGTGAGTAGATGAAAATCAGACATTTCAGAAATCCTTGCAGTTCCATTTAAAAAAAAAAAAATCTATTTATTTATCCCAAAAATATTCCGCTACTTTGTTCCACTGACTCTCTCGATTTCGTATCAAATGTAATTTTCGATTGTTTATAAGTGTATTATTATATTCGAAATTTTTGTTTGGCGAGAAATTTCCTTATCTTAATTTCGTGCCCATTGTGGCCATCTATTGGTTTTTAATTGAAAATCTAAAGTAGTCGACATCGTTCTAATTTAATTGGTATCACTTGCTATGATAACGATCTTGATATGGGTGATTTTTTCGATCTGTATTTATTTTTGGAGTGGATCTAATTACATTTTTATTGTAAAATGATTAAGAAAATAATATAACTGATAAAATACTGTAGGGTATATTTACTTTATACGTCATATGTAATATCAAGCATGATTCATCAATATTATTATATTAGACAGCCTCCAGTTATATGCCACCTTGTAAATTTCCAAAAAATGGGGCTTTTAAGTATATTTTTTTCGAAGACCATTAATAGGCATGAATTTTTTAATATTATTTTTTCAAGAACCATCAATAAGCGGGGATTTTTAAAAATATATTTTTTAAAAACAGCTCAACTTACCCAACTGCTTGACGAAAGCACCCCTTGTCCCGACAATAATATAGAAGCACAATGGCAGAGAATTGCCCACTCCCTACAAACTGCAACAAAAGCAACACTTGGGTACCAAAGACCACCAGCAAGAAATCCGTGGAACGTTCAGGAGTGTCGTAATACTACTGATATGAAAAACGCAGCGTATAGGGCAACGCTGCGGACAGTAGCAACACGTCATGCGATGGAGAACTATCGGAAGAAAATGAAGAGAGGAGAAACGTATTTTCAGAACGAAGAAGAAAGATCAAGAAAAACGTGAGCGTGAGCAAATCGAGACATACAGGAGTCAGAATGAAGTTCAAAAATTCGACCACGGGTAAAACACCAAACCGAAGAGATAAAGAAGGAAACCTGGTGACAGATACAGACAGCGTGCTGAGGATCTGGAAGGAACATTTTGAAAAACTTCTGGTATTAAATAGTAGCGGTGAAGAGGATACCCCATAACCAATAATAGATGACGGTATAGAGTGTATACCTCCTAGCCAAGATGAAGTCAGAATAGCAATCAATCGGCTGAAGAATAATAAAGCAGCAGGTTACAAGAAGAACTATTCAAGACTGGTGGTCAGATGCTGGTCAGGAGCATGCACCGCCTAATTAGTATAATTTGGCTAGAAGAATGCATACCCAATTATTGGAACCTTAGCATCCTGTGTGCCGTGCACAAAAAAGGAGACAAGGCGATATGTGCCAACTACTGAGGAATAAGTCTCCTTCTCATCGCATATAAAGTGCTATCCAGGCTACTGTGTGAACTTCTAAAGCCAATGGTCAATGACTTTATTGGACCATACCCATGTGGCTTCAGACCTGGCAAATCCACCATTGATCAGATTTTCACTCTGCGCCAAATCCTGGAAAAACCCACGACACATTCCACCTATTCGTCGACTATAAAGCCGCATTCGACAGCCCTATCCATTCAGAAGTGTATGAAGCCATGCCTGCGTTTGGCATTCCTGCAAAATTAATGCGGCTATGCAGGATAACTTTAACTGGTACAATATCAGCAATTTAAGTCGGAATGAACCTCTCGGAGCCCTCTAATACCGAACGAGGATTCAGACAAGGTGATAGTTTGTCGTGTGACCTATTTAAAATCCTGCTGAAAAAGGTCATACGATAGGCAAAAGTGAACAGAAATGACACTCTGTATACTAAACAACACATGTTACTCGCCTATGCCGATGACATCGATATAATGGGTCGAACATTGCGAGCGGTAACAGCCACCTTTAAACAAATTGAAAAGGTGTCTGCCAAAGTGGGTCTGGCAGTAAACGGCGAGAAGACCAAGCTGATGGTATCAACGCGCAAGACGTCCAGTAGACTCGGACCAACTTTGGAACTTGAGAACTACTGCTTCGAGGTAGTCAAGGATTTTATATACTTTGGTACCGCCATAAATAAAACGAATGACATCAGATTTGAAATTCGGAGAAGGATAATGATGGCCCACCGATGCCACTATGGTCTGAGCAAACAACTTAAAAGCAAGGCCACCTCCCGCCAACCTCACACTCTACAAGACGCTGATACTACCCACGCTGTTATATGGATCTGAAGCATGGGTACTTGCGCAAGCAGATGAGGCACCTCTTGAAGTATTTGAAAGAACAATTCTCCGAAAGATCTATGGGCCGATCTGAGTTGACGATGAATATCGCCGTCGAATGAACCATGAGTTGTACCAGATATTCTCGGACATCGACACTGGCAGACATATTGAGCTGCAGCGACTACGTTGGTTAGGTCAAGTTGTGAGAATGGATGAAAATGCCCCAGCCCAGAAGGCATATAAAGCGAACCAGCTTATGGTTCACGCAGAAGGGGAAGGCCAAGAATACGATGGAAGTTGAAGATCAAGTCGTAGGCAACATTGCCGAAAATGGTCTTTCAAATTGGAGAAACTGCGCAAAAAACCGTCGCGCCTGAAAATCTTTTTTTAAGGCGGGGATTTGTTAAAAATATTTTTCAAATGCTGTTAACAGGCGTGAATTTTTTAATGGCTGTTATTAGGCGTGGATTTCTTAAAGGCTGTTAATAGGCGTGGATTTTTTAAAGGCTGTTAATAGGCGTGGATTTTTTAAAGGCTGTTAATAGGCGTGGATTTTTTAAAGGCTGTTAATAGGCGTGGATTTTTTAAAGGCTGTTAATAGGCGTGGATTTTTTAAAGGCTGTTAATAGGCGTGGATTTTTTAAAGGCTGTTAATAGGCGTGGATTTTTTAAAGGCTGTTAATAGGCGTGGATTTTTTAAAGGCTGTTAATAGGCGTGGATTTTTTAAAGGCTGTTAATAGGCGTGGATTTTTTAAAGGCTGTTAATAGGCGTGGATTTTTTAAAGGCTGTTAATAGGCGTGGATTTTTTAAAGGCTGTTAATAGGCGTGGATTTTTTAAAGGCTGTTAATAGGCGTGGATTTTTTAAAGGCTGTTAATAGGCGTGGATTTTTTAAAGGCTGTTAATAGGCGTGGATTTTTTAAAGGCTGTTAATAGGCGTGGATTTTTTAAAGGCTGTTAATAGGCGTGGATTTTTTAAAGGCTGTTAATAGGCGTGGATTTTTTAAAGGCTGTTAATAGGCGTGGATTTTTTAAAGGCTGTTAATAGGCGTGGATTTTTTAAAGGCTGTTAATAGGCGTGGATTTTTTAAAGGCTGTTAATAGGCGTGGATTTTTTAAAGGCTGTTAATAGGCGTGGATTTTTTAAAGGCTGTTAATAGGCGTGGATTTTTTAAAGGCTGTTAATAGGCGTGGATTTTTTAAAGGCTGTTAATAGGCGTGGATTTTTTAAAGGCTGTTAATAGGCGTGGATTTTTTAAAGGCTGTTAATAGGCGTGGATTTTTTAAAGGCTGTTAATAGGCGTGGATTTTTTAAAGGCTGTTAATAGGCGTGGATTTTTTAAAGGCTGTTAATAGGCGTGGATTTTTTAAAGGCTGTTAATAGGCGTGGATTTTTTAAAGGCTGTTAATAGGCGTGGATTTTTTAAAGGCTGTTAATAGGCGTGGATTTTTTAAAGGCTGTTAATAGGCGTGGATTTTTTAAAGGCTGTTAATAGGCGTGGATTTTTTAAAGGCTGTTAATAGGCGTGGATTTTTTAAAGGCTGTTAATAGGCGTGGATTTTTTAAAGGCTGTTAATAGGCGTGGATTTTTTAAAGGCTGTTAATAGGCGTGGATTTTTTAAAGGCTGTTAATAGGCGTGGATTTTTTAAAGGCTGTTAATAGGCGTGGATTTTTTAAAGGCTGTTAATAGGCGTGGATTTTTTAAAGGCTGTTAATAGGCGTGGATTTTTTAAAGGCTGTTAATAGGCTGTTTTTTAAAGGCTGTTAATAGGCGTGGATTTTTTAAAGGCTGTTAATAGGCGTGGATTTTTTAAAGGCTGTTAATAGGCGTGGATTTTTTAAAGGCTGTTAATAGGCGTTTTTTTAAAGGCTGTTAATAGGCGTGGATTTTTTAAAGGCTGTTAATAGGCGTGGATTTTTTAAAGGCTGTTAATAGGCGTGGATTTTTTAAAGGCTGTTAATAGGCGTGGATTTTTTAAAGGCTGTTAATAGGCGTGGATTTTTTAAAGGCTGTTAATAGGCGTGGATTTTTTAAAGGCTGTTAATAGGCGTGGATTTTTTAAAGGCTGTTAATAGGCGTGGATTTTTTAAAGGCTGTTAATAGGCGTGGATTTTTTAAAGGCTGTTAATAGGCGTGGATTTTTTAAAGGCTGTTAATAGGCGTGGATTTTTTAAAGGCTGTTAATAGGCGTGGATTTTTTAAAGGCTGTTAATAGGCGTGGATTTTTTAAAGGCTGTTAATAGGCGTGGATTTTTTAAAGGCTGTTAATAGGCGTGGATTTTTTAAAGGCTGTTAATAGGCGTGGATTTTTTAAAGGCTGTTAATAGGCGTGGATTTTTTAAAGGCTGTTAATAGGCGTGGATTTTTTAAAGGCTGTTAATAGGCGTGGATTTTTTAAAGGCTGTTAATAGGCGTGGATTTTTTAAAGGCTGTTAATAGGCGTGGATTTTTTTTTTAATTTTTATACCCTAGATTCACTCCGTCTGTCTGTCCATGTTAAATTGGTCACTTATTTGGCCCAAAGACGAACCCTATTGAAATTTGGAAAAGCGGTTAAGATTTAGATATAGCTCCGATATATTTTCGTCCGATTTAATGTAAATGGTGTACCAAAGTCCCTATATATCTTTCGATTTGCACGAAATTTGGCACAGCGTACTGAATTAGGTGTATAAGGATGTGTGTTAAGTTTCCTGAAAATCGATCTAGATTTAAATATAGCTCCCATATATATGTTCGTCCGATTTAAAGTAAATTGCCCACCAAAGTCCCTATATATCTTTTGATTTGCACGAACTTTTGCACAGC